TTCTGGTGATTCTAGCGGGCAAGTTCCCGGAGAGAAGAAGAGCGATGCTGATGACAACAAACCTTTGTCTCCACCTCCGAAGGAAAGCGACGAGTCTATTCCATCCACTGGTGCCGGTTCTCCGAATGTGCTTGGCTTTTTATCCTTTATGGTTACATACGAAGACGGAAAGGAGGTTGTTTACTGCTATGAGATTCACTTGTCGCCGGCGGCTCGGGGACGGGGCGTCGGGAGGTTGCTTATGGGTCAGATGGAGGGAATCGGTCGTGCTGTCGGTTTGGAGAAGTCTATGCTGACGGTTTTTAAGTCGAATGAGATTGCTCGGCGGTTCTATGCGAGACTTGGGTATGGGGTTGATGAGTACTCGCCCCGACCGCGCATGTTACGCAATGGGACGATTAAAGATGTGGACTATTTGATCTTGTCCAAGGTGTTGAAATTATGATAGCTGGATATCTCTTTGTTAAGGGATTGAATGCTAATGGTTGATATGAAAATAGTGATATGCAAAAGTTAATATACATTACACCTGTCGCACCTCTTCGCCCACCCGATCTGGGCGTTCTTGCTCCCACTCGTCTCTGAGAGCGGCGAAGACGGTGTCAGCTAACAGGATAGAGAGACCCAAACTCCAAACTAGAGTAATGGCGTAGAAGAAATTGGCATTTCCGGATCCTGCGTAGATCCAAAGGTAGTAGAAAGCTGGGCCGAGGAGGCTGGAGTACAAGATTGCCGAACCCGCAAAGAAGGTATATCGCATCACTGTGCCAAGTTAGTCATGATTCTAAGATATACTAAAAATTTGGAAATACTCACATGGGAAAAGGTGGCGATATAATGGCAGCAACGCGAAGAACAGCGACGCATCTGAGATGCTAGGGTACGGCTTGAAGATGGCGAAGACACCCAAGAGCGAGGTGATGACAAATAGGGGTTGGCTGCGGAAGCGAGCCGTGAGGCCCCCGACATAGCTGGCCAAATGAAGCCAGAAAACGCCGAGGAAGAACTCCCGGAATGAGTCGAACATCTCAATGAAAAAGTACCACCACAGCCCCACGTTGGGGGTCAGGTCTGGAACCAACAGATGGAAACCATATGTTGCGGAGATAAACTCCCAGAAGTTGCCAGTGATCAGACAAGAGAGACCAAGCAGGCCTGCCACACTGGCCAGTAGGAGGGCAGCGTGTTGAACAATAAAAGACCCAACATTGGGTGGGCTTGGTCCCTCCAAGCGCCGGTCATAGCATAGTAGAACCAACGGGATAAAGAGCAACGCTGGGTATAGAGACAGATATGAAGCGAATCCCAGGGCTAGTATTGCATTGATGCTATTTCCACCGACTGCATTGGAAACGGCGAAAAGGATTCCTGATGTCGTAAATACGCTGGTTGATCGCGCCAAACATGTCGCAATTGTGAAAGGATTAAACAAAAACCTATTCCATGGTAAGTATGCAAATATATTATTGGGCAGGCCAGAAGATGCATACCATGCTGCAACGGACACTCCATCCCATCGGACATGTTTTCGGACCGCCGAGTGTAGTCTCGATTTAACCGATTGGCCCGAGGCAGAAATAGTCACCAATGCATGCGCGTTCAAGAGGTCGATAATGAAGTAGAAAATTGCGGTTGGCAAAGGCGAGCTCTTCGCATCCGGGAGTAGGTCGAACAGAGGTAACAGGAGCGGCGCCTAGATCATCGGATTGAATTGTCAATTCAAGAAACGGAATCAGAGGAATCTAGATCCACGAACCTGGTGGAAGACGCCACCATCATAAGGTGACACGTTTCTTGTGTACAAGAATAGACCTTCTTGCACTACATATAATTAGTTTATAGAATGCGGAGTCAATAGTCGGAGACACGTACGGCGTTTGAAGCTATTGACGGGAGTGGAAACTTCGACTCTCCCCGTTAACAAATCAGGTAATGAAGGAAAAAGACATGTAAGAATTAGACGCAGCACAAAAGCCGCGCCGAACACAGCAATCTTCCGTCGGTCTACAGCCATGACGGGGTGGAGGGTTTAGTTGTTTGATTCCAGCTGGTCCCTATGGACCCAGGGCTCTCTCTCCGCCTTCGGGCACGGACCACTTCTGTTGCGGTAAGAAAAAAAAGTTATCGAGAAATTTTCTTCTTCTTATCAGCAGCCGTTTGGATCTTTTGACAACCATTTTTCATCATGGGTAAAGTTAAGAAGAAGGGTATGTTAAAATGAACCGAGAATTTCAATTGGATTTACTGACACTCCTTTCAGGTACCTCTGGCGCAGCCAAGAACTACATTACCAGAACTCAGGCCGTGCGCAAACTTCAGATCTCTCTGCCAGATTTCCGCCGACTATGCATCTTCAAGGGTAATTACCTCTTCCATGGGTATTCCATCTGAATCGCAAGACTAACATGATGTCCGATATCAGGTATCTACCCTCGCGAGCCCCGTAGTAAGAAGAAGGCCTCTAAGACGTCTACACCCAACACCACCTTCTACTACACCAAGGACATCCAGTATCTGCTACACGAGCCCCTGCTCAACAAGTTCCGTGACCAGAAGGCACTTGCAAAGAAGATCGCTCGCTCTCTCGGCCGTGGAGAAGTCAGCGATGCCTCCCGTTTAGAAAAGAACAACGCCCCGAGACTCACTCTGGACCATGTCATTAAAGAGCGCTACCCGACCTTTATCGATGCCCTCCGTGATCTAGACGACGCTCTGTCTCTTCTCTTCCTCTTCGCTACCCTTCCCTCCACCGACCATGTTCCTTCTAAGACCGTTGCGCTCTGCCAGCGCCTTTGCCATGAGTTCCAGCACTACCTGATCATGACCAACTCTCTGCGCAGATCCTTCCTTTCAATTAAGGGTATCTATTACCAGGCTACGATTCAGGGCCAAGACATTATGTGGCTTGTGCCATACCGTTTCGTCCAGCGTGTCAATGGTGACGTCGATTACCGTATCATGGCTACTTTTGTTGAGTTTTACACCACCCTTCTGGGCTTCGTCAACTTCCGCCTGTACTCTTCGATTGGATTGAGATACCCTCCTAAGTTCGATACCCGCAGTGATGAGAACGGCGCCGAGTTGGCAGCTTTCACTCTTGAGGGCCGCGCAGTGGGTGAGGTGCCCAAGGCTCTTGAGGCTAGCAAGGCCCAGAGCAAGGGTAACTCCAACAAGGAAGTTTCCAAGGAACTTCAAGCCAAGGTTGATAAGGTGATTAAGAAGGCCGGTTTGGAACAGAGCACGGACGAGGAGATGGTCGACACTACCGACGAGGCAACCGATGCCATCGACCACTTCGAACCCGCCGCTCCCGAAGCCGACACCCTCCCCCAGCCCGCGATGAGCGGTAACGAGGCCGGTGCACTCTTTGCCCCCTTCGTGTTCTACATTTCCCGCGAAGCCCCCAAGGCTCCCCTCGAATTCATTCTGCGGTCATTCGGCTGCAAGCGCGTTGGATGGGCCTCTGTTCTGGGCGATGGAGCTTTCACTCACGACGAGACCGACCCTCGCATCACTCACCAAATTGTCGATCGTCCCCAACTTCCCCAGGAGTCTCTTCCCGCCATTCCCGCTGCCGATGAGAACGCCGTTCAGAAGGTCCAGCCTGGATCCCGCATTCCTGGCCGTACCTACATCCAGCCCCAGTGGGTCTGGGACTGCATTAACGAGGGCAAGCTCCTCCGAGCTGATCTCTACGCACCCGGTGCCACTCTCCCACCCCACTTGAGCCCTTGGGTCAAGGCCACTCGTGGCGCTTACGACCCCCGCGCCTCTCTCGCCGATCAGGAGGATGAGGATGAAGCCGAGATTGCCGCCGAGGCCTCCGATAGCGACGAGGAGATGGAGGATGAGCCCGCAGTTGACGCCAAGCCTGCTACTGCCGAGGAGTCCGATGAAGAGTCCGTCGACGGAGGCATGGATGTCGCCGGCACCGACGACGACGAGAGCGAGGAGGAGTCTGATGAGGAAGACGAAGACTTCGGTGGCTTTGACGAGGAAGCCGCGTCCGAGTCCGAAGATGACGACGAGGCTGCCCGCACCCAGCACCAGAGGGAGCTCGAGGCCGAAGCCGCTGGTCTGCCTTTCACCGCCAACGCCGCCGCTGATGAAGCTGCCAAGAAGAAGAACTCCAAGTCCAAGAAGCTTGCCGCCAAGAAGCGCAGCGAGGACGAGGAGCTCGAAAGACAGAAGATGATGATGAGCCGGAAGAAGCGCAAGCTGCTTGAGAAGATGATGTACTCTAACAAGAAGACTGCCGATGAGTCCGCCAAGCTCCGCTCCAAGAGACGCAAGCTTGAGAAGGGCGAGAAGGGCGAGAAGAACTAAAGCTCGGATCATTTGTGCATGTTAGATAGTGCTTTTGCCGGGCGTTGCGGTTTGGATATGTCCCCTGTATAGGCACCTCAAAAATTTGTGAAGTTTTAATGCTATTTATGGGGTAATACCCCAGTTATATGTATAACTTTTGTCCTCTGCCATTTTGACACCCCATGTAGTTCAAATAGGCAACCTATCGCCAGGTGTAGGATATTGGTAACTCATATCACAACACGTATTCTGTGACCCTAGACCGTGAATAGATGATCTTTTAACATTGGCGTGCGCCTTCCCCATGTTGTTTAAACGTAATGACCTAGCGCTCCAGAAGCTCAGCATGATCATCATTGCATCTGTTGTGTTTGTAATGATCGTGCATCGTCCACATAACAATGAGTACATCATCCCGCTACGCCTCTGGAAAGATGGTTATTTTTCCACGTCACAACCTGTCCCATATAATCCATACCCGGACTACAACAGTGCTGCATGGAAGAGAAAGTGGAGAGGGTCCTACCAACCGTGTGTTGGTCCCGATGGGGCGCTTTGGGATCCTAAGAAGGAAGATACCGCGATGAAAGGATACCGTTGGAATCAGTCAGGTTTGTGACTGGAGCAAGATAGTGGAGGGCGTAAATGCCTCGAGGGAGGCACCTTTCCTGCCACCCACGCCGACAACTGAAATGGGCCCATCGAGCTGGGGTGTTGGGGAGGAAGCAGATGTGATTACTTGGCTTCCACAGTTCAATCCAGCGGACATGGGTTGGCCGATGCGTGATGTGATCTACGAATTCACCGAAGGATCAGACACCCCACGTCGGGCCTCCCCCGTTGCCATGTCTCGACTTTCAGCACGTGTGCTCCGCTTCATGCATGCTGATATGACTGAAAAGGGCCTGGGTCTAGATTCAGAGATGTCTCCAACCTCCTGAGCTCTGTACTATGATTTGAAGTCGGATCAGGATCAGATTCCCCAACCCATTTACCATGTACAAGAATGGAACCCCGAGGAGTTGAATCGCCGTGCGAATTGTGGTGAACCTGGGGCTATTAGTGCTATGGTGATGTAGAGGAGGTAAGATTGAGCTGTTTTTCTTTTCTCTCCTTTTCTTTTTTTTTTTCTTGGCGGGAATCAATACTGACCACTGGTAGTGGAGGAGAGCTACTGGATCGACCTGCCTACTACCTATGCTATTGCATCGTGTGAAGAATACGATGATGTAGAAGGTTGACAGTAAAATGGGTTGCAGCTGTGGGGTTTCTGTGGAATTTATTTCCTAGTCATGTTTGATCTTACTTGTTGGGATAGGTTTATTTTATCTATGTCCTAGAATAATATATCCCTCCTCACACCTTGAGATTTGTAGATCAGTGTCATCCTACCCCACATGGGGATGTTTTGGCTCAGGGAGCTACCAGAGTGTTCGGGGCCCCTCCCGGGGCATCCTATTGGTGAGTCATCCCTCGGGTCACATCCGAGGGTTTACGTATATTTGCTGATGTTCTCGCTTTGGGATACATCAAGTAATAATTTACACATATCAAGCAGTATCAGCACACACGAGCTATAACCGAATTAATCAACCATGGCGTCAAACAAACCGCAAGTTGTGGGATGGATAGGTACGGCAATAAGGAACAATCACATAGGGCGTCACGTTTCTAATTCCCCTAGGACTCGGAAGTATGGGACTTGCAATGGCACAGAATGTCCACAGATTTCTCCAACAAGACACAATATCACAATTAAGATTCTGGAATCGAACGGCATCTCGCGGCGCGCCACTTGAATCACTTGGAGGTATTGGATGCGAGTCTATCGCCCAACTTGTCGCTGAGTGTGACCTGATATTCATATCTGTGAGTATATATATGAATGGGAATTTCATTTTGCAGAGACCCTTCACAGATCTCCGAAAATCTATAACGTACCTTTATCACTAACATTGAGCAACAGACCAGTGATGATGGGGCTTTGAATGCTATCGTTGACCAAATATTGACCGTCAAAGATATTGACGGCAAGTTGTTTGTGGATACTACCACTGTGCATCCTAATACGACCAAGGAGACAAATGAAAAGCTGAAGAAACGAAATGCATCCTTCGTTGCTGGTAAGCAAGCGCACCTCGGTCATGTTGCAGTTTCTCATGGACTACAACAGCACCTGTCTTCGGAGCCACCCCTGCGGCGGAAAGTGGCACAGTGTTGATGGCGATGGCCGGCCCAAGTCAAGCCATTGATAAAATTGCACCTTACGGAAAGGGTGTCATTGCTCGGGATGTGATGATTGTCTCGGATCAACCCGAGAAAGCCACTCTTCTCAAGACTTTGGGGTGAGATTGCAACAAGTATACTGTGTCTGTCATAACAGTCTTACTAACACTATTTAGTAATTTCCTCGTTGCAGGCACAATGGAGATCGTAGGAGAAGCCCAAATGCTAGCAGAGAAAAGTGACCTTGGCACAGACATGCTTGAAAAGTTGCTTGAGCTGAACTTTGGAGGTTTGATGCATTCCAGCTCTAGGCGCATGACGCAGGGTGTTTACCTGCCGGAGGAAGGTAAGAACATGGCATTAATTGAGAATACCCAAATTGTTCTGCTTTTGCTGATCATATACTCTAGGTCAAGCCCCTTGGTCCAACCTGAATCTCGGGATCAAGGATGTTCAGCATGGCATCAGTTGCGCCAAAGATGTCGGTGCGAGATTAAAAGTTGCCGAGGTGGCACTGGATAATATGGTGCGGGCAAAGGACTTCTCAGATGCGCATGGCGGCCGGCCTTTAGATTCATCGTCTGGGTACGGTATCATACGTCAAGATTCTGGGCTTGACTTTGAAAATACCTTTGTGAAGGAACGAGACGCCAGGAAGGAAGATGATTCTTCTCGATAGTACATTGCCACATACGCAGTTAGGAGGGTCCCGGGGTGGAGAGAACTTACGACAGCTATTGGGCCCACTTCAAAGTTGTTATCCCGCGAGATCTGAAGCCATCCAAAGAACAATTGTTTTCTTCCATCATTGTTTCCGACAGAGGCTGGTGCATAACCTATTTTACCATTCTTCTGTACCTTCTTATTTCTTTGAATGTTAGTATAGCCACGAATAAAACCCATCCCCGGGGTATCTTCTTATTCGTCAAAGATCATCTCTCGGACTTCCGGCGGAACTTAGCCGATGTACTCTAGACACGCGGCTGATATTTCCCAAGTTGGAATGGAGGTCCGATTAAGCTCCCGAGGTCGGATATAAGGTTCGGGGTCCCGTACTCTTACCGATCATTAGATTCAAAACGGAAATGAAAATATTCATGAGACTCATACTCATCTGTCTCTTCGCATTGATCACTCTACTGTATCTCTCAAACCGGTCACAAAATCACCATCTAACCGGCGCCGAAATGTCTTTCCGGTTACACCTCATCCGACACGCAGAGGGAACTCACAATCCCGGTCACGACACAACCATTCTCGATCCTCCATTGACAGAAAAGGGAATCCAACAATGCCTAAAACTCTGTCAAGACTTTCCATTCAAGGAGAGTGTTGGCTTAGTGATGACATCTCCACTCCGACGCACTCTTCAAACAGCCCGTTTAGGCTTCCAACAAAGCATCGATGAGAAATATTACGCGCAAGGCTCCGGGGCAGGAATTCAAAATGGCGCGCGTCTTTTGTTAGAGCCAGATGTACAGGCACACTCGGCTCGGCCATGTGATACTGGCTCGGATATCGCGATTTTACGCTCGGAGTTTTACGATCTACCCTGGGAAATTCTAGATTTGAATCCCACATTCCCAGCAAAGGAAGGACTTTATGCCAGTGATTCCGAGAGCTTGAAGTTGCGTGGAGCTCGAATCCAGCGTCGGTTGGAGCAGAAATTCAAAGAACTAAAGGACAGCGGAAGACCGGACATTGTCGTTGTTACACATGGCGGGTTTTTGAGCTCCGTCATCGGCCAGGAGAAAACAGAAGTTGGACAGGCAAAGTGGAAGACTTTTATTGTTACATTTGATCAGGATTCGAGAATTGTTGTGGAATCCGTGTTGGAAGCACCAAGGCTCTAATTCGCCCGTTGGGTTGTTGGATATAGGTGCATGAACCAATAGAGCGAACTGGCACTGCCATTTTTTGTGTGCAGCTATTATATTTCTTATTTTCTAGCACAAGGAAGAACCTATTATTTCATCTTAAACAGCAGAAATGGCGAAATACATGGCTTACGTCTGCATCAGCCCCATCTCCGAGTCCACGATCTACAGCCCCACATTTATATCCGATAGGTTCCAAGGTTGTTTGCTAAGATTTCAAAGTTACCATAGGTGGAAATGTGGGGATTTAATTAAAAAGCCCGAGACAAGTACCTATGGCAGGTGATGTTTTAGTAACAATAGTAGTCAGAAAGTGGCAGAGAGCTCTACCACGACCTCAGCCGCGTCGGCACTTAACGCCGGCCCTCGTGTTCAATGTCAGCTGTCAGACAAGAATATATGGTCTAATAGTAGGACTGTATTACTTTTAACATCAGCTTTCAGTGAGAAATCCGTGAAACATTTTGTAGCGTTACCCACTTTCTTAGTATGGGAAGATATAGATCGGTTTAGGCTCGTATGAATATATGCATCTGTTTCTACCGACCGGTTTTTGTGAAACTGTGTACCCAGATAAATATCTCTTAGCTATACCACATGCGACAAAATTCTGGGCTGGGCTGGCCTGGTAGCACTTTGCTGACTCCGATTGGGTATGTCTCACGATTTCTTTGTGGCTTTTAGCCAAAGGAGTCACCATGCATTGCCCCATGTTACTAGTTGCTATTGAAAATTCCACCCAAATGTGATCCATTGTAGCTCTGTAATTTCATGTCGCAAATCCTTGTACTCCGATCTGACTTGATAGAACTACCGCCTCTGTGCTAAATTCTAGGATGCTTACCCTGGAAGAACACTGACCGGAGGAATACTTCGTAAAGCAATCAAAATATGCATATCAACGTGGCTATTTCCTTTCGTGGCATCTTGATCTAATCCCTCAAGTTGCAGCTTCCTCCCACAAGGAGCTAGTTCTGCAGATCCTCGGGCCTAGGCTGGGGTCTCTCGGTGTTTACCAGTTGACGCTAGGTACAATATTTCCTGCCTTTGAGCATAACATCATTATACATGGCTGGAAGTGTGAACCCTGTCTGAAATATCACTTTACCCTCTTCAACTACTATTTGATCGCTTCCACATTCCTGGTGTGGTAAGTGGTGTGGTTAGGGTTACTCAGGGAAGTATGCAGAGTCGACCCTTGTTTCAGACCCTTGCTCTTCTGACGGTCAAAATAGCTTAGCTAGTATCGTATATCTGTCTGCCAGCTTTCTATTCCAAAAGCCAAGGTATTATGGCGTATGGCAAGGATGACGTGGATCTTGTTGAATATGCAGGATCCCAACGAATGTAAGATAATAGGTAGCTGATCCAGATGACGGGGTCGGCTGAACTGGAGATTCTCTATCGAAAGATTCATTATATAGATCATTTGTAGGCAAAGAATTCGATGGGGGGTCCAAATAAAACTCCTTAAACCTATGACTACATGTCCATGTATACAGCTACCTACAAGTAGGTAGCACCTTCCGGGGTTTCATTCCCGCATTTCATATTAGTACTGCGACAACTCCTTTTTTGTAACATTGGAAGGGCCCTGAAGATATCCTTTTCTACCCGAGACCCTTGTCTTTCAAAGTCGTCCACGGTATTTGAAATGCGTCTTGGCATTGTCACTGTTGTGGGCCTCGCCATTGCCCCGGCGTCAGCGAACTGCCCTTATGCCCGAGATGCAGACACTGAGGTTGACCACAGTGTCATCCTCCATACACACTTACCTCGAGACGCTATTCTTAGCAAATCAACTACAAGTGATGCGTCCTCTACCTCCTCCGCAACAGCTGGAAAAAAAGGACTGCTGTTGATGAACAGAATCGCCCCTGGCGCCTCGGAACTATACATCGCCAACGCGGACGGCACCAACGAGCGTCCTTTATTGAAAGATCCTGGCTATGAATACCACGCTGAATTCTCTCCCGATGGTGAATGGATCAGTTTCACCAGTGAGCGCGATGGCGATGGAAACTCCGATATCTGGCGTGTGCACCCTGATGGCTCCGATCTACAGCCGATTGTTACATCCCCAGCAGTGGAAGACAGCGTTGTAATTTCACCCAACGGAACATTGGCAGCATATGTTTCGACAGCTAAAAATTACATCGCTAACATTTGGGTCAAGGACCTGGAGACCGGCGCCGAGTGGAACATCACGGATACGCCAGCTAACCGACCAGACGAGGACATGATGCGCGGTAATTTCCGTCCAGCTTGGTCGCCAGATGGCAATTGGCTTGCGTTTTCCTCGGATCGCAACACAAGATGGAATGGCCACGGAAATCTTACATACCTCGGCCTGAATGGCTGGGAGCACACCCAAGAACTCGGCATTTATATTATTCGTCCTGATGGCTCGGATCTTCGCCGTGTTGTCAACCGTACAGGCCACTGCCTTGGGTCTCCTAAATGGTCACCCGATGGCAAGCGCCTCATATTCTACGAGATGACTCGTAATGGGACATGGCATGCGCATCGACCCGAGCTCGTAGCAGCTTCTAACTCCACAATTGTGTCGATTGGAATCGATGGCAATGACCGCCGAACTGAAGTTGGCGGTAGAGGTGTCAAGGTATTTCCTCAATATGTGACGAATTCCACCATTGGGTACTATCTGAAGGGTGGCATTAATGAGGGCATCTACCTTACAAATGGTACATACTTCAATACTACTATACGCTCTCCCTCGTGGTCTTCCGATGGAAAGTATATTGTGTACGAGAAAGTTGACTGGTCTATCCGCCCTCTTTTTAAAGAGCTGTACAGCTGGGATAGTGACTGGGAATATCGCTTCACTGATGTATTCCCTCAACTCTCGTCGGACGATCGCGTGGCTCTGACCGAAAGGCAACTTGGGAACTCCTCAATTGCCACCATCGACCTGGAGGATAGGGAGGTCTCCTTACTATACAAGGCTAATGATACCAGTCTCCTCGACACCAGTCTGATTCAAGAAGGTCTGGCCGGGGCGTACAGTCCCAGCTGGTCCCCAGACGGCGAATGGGTCGTCTTCGGAGTGGGCGCCTGGTTTGAGGCGCGTGATTGGCGAGGAGCTTGGATTGTTCGCTCTACTGCAAACGGCAGCCACAGCGACGTCCTCACCACCAGCAACCTCTGGATCAACGGAACAAAGGACCTAAACACCGGGTTTCCCAGCTTCTCTCACGACGGCAAGAAGGTTGTCTACCGCGTCTGGGGTGCCGGTACCGCCAAGTACGGCGACGCGACAGATATCGGTTTACGCATCATTGATGTTGAGACTAGAGAGATTACCCAACTCACCAGCGGCTGGGACAACCTTCCCTCGTTCTCACCCGATGGGGAATTGATAGTCTTCACCCGCAAGGTTTCTCCGACTAACTACGAGGTCTGCACCATCCGCCCTGACGGCACTGAGCTCCGCATTCTAACTTCGAGTGGTGCGAACGATGCCCACGCCGTTTGGCGTCAGGATGGAAAAATTATATGGTCCTCCGGAATGTACGGGTTCCAGTATGAGTGTCCTTTGTACGACGAGACGTTCCAGCCCTATGGTCAGATCATGATCATGGATTCCGATGGATCCAATAAGCGTGCTTTGACCAACTCCATCTGGGAGGATTCTATGCCTCTCTTTCTTCCTAAAGATGGGTTTTAGAATGCGGTTTCAAAATATAAAAGGAGGGTGGTTTCGCTTTCGTTTTCTGGCAATTGACTTGGTCACTTTCATTCGTTTTGGATAATTAGATAGAGCCGTCGGTCTATATTATTATTGGAATACCATCATTACCTTCTTCGCAAATACATACTTTCTACCAATATATCGTTCGTACACAACTATACAAATTCCATTGACTTAAAAAAGTATACATTAGAGTGACGCCAATAACGTAAATTTATTGGTCCATTGTTAGAGTTGTGGGGGCGACTAAACCCCACCGAGGAACTAACCCCGAGAGAGCTGGAAAGCAGAGCAGCCCAGAGACATCAGTGATAAGGGGCTATTCGGCTATTGTAGCTCATACTAGCACTGTGCTTGGGGCTGAAAAGATATGGCGTGCCTTCAAAGCCCACTCAGATCAATGAAGTTCCTCCTGGTTCTTACATGGAAGCATCAGGCTTTACAGGTGAGCTTGAAGGTCATCCAGAAAGAGAGCTCATGTTTCTATAACAAAATTTACAGACTTTGTGACGATCTTTGCGACGTAAAGCTCGCCACTGCCTGCACCTTCGAGGCACCTGGTTGCTCCACGGTACCGCGTCAGCCTCGCTCGATTCGTGTTCTTTCGGTGTACTTTTAAGGTTTGACCCAGTATCAATAGCCGATTGGAACATAAGTGGTCACTGGGATCCCATCGTAGTGATAGAAATAGTAGAGATCACATAGGGCAGTTGGAAGCCAATATACTTCCATTTTGGGACTAGCGCGCAATTTCTGAACGGAATCGTGTATATCGATCACGTGACGATATCGTTGATCCACCCGCCTGGAATTTTTGACATCTTCAACACTTAGGAGGGATTAAATTGTTGGACAGAAGACTCAAAATTCGCCATTTAAAACACCCGTTACTAAAATTCTTGGCACTGGTTGTCCTCTTGGCCTTTGAATCGGATGTTGTCCAGTAAAAATCCGCATCTATGTGACATCTAGGCACTGCAGGTCTAAATCCTTTGCGCATACAACGGCAAGAGACCAAAGTTTCTTCCCAGCATGTCATCTTTATATGGAAGCCAAGTGCCGTGGCCAGAACTTCTTCCACCGCAATCTACGCAGCCACGCCAATCATTATTTGGAGGCCCAAGCAGTGACGTCTTGCAACCTTCGTCTCAACCAGAACCGTCAAAAAGTTCTCTTTTTGGAGGCCCCATCAGTCAAGATGCTCTTCTAGAGCCTCTTTCTGAAGCAGATCTCATGGACGAGGGGCCAGATCTAAATGAATTGGACACGATAATGCGAGAACAGCCCTTGGCGCTCCAGGATGACTCTGATGACGAAAGTTATGAGGGAAATAATCGTGGCAGAAGTCGCATACGCTCAAAAAGGTCACAGGAGCCTCAAAATGATCCAATTTACTACGTAGTTGACCGAGGTCTTGATCTGCCACCTGGGGTTGAGCGTCCTAATCTGTTTGATGGACACGCTACTTCGTGGAGGAACTACAATGCCGATGAAATCGGAGCCTATAATGCAATGGTTACCCACCGAACCAGAGATTTGGCGGCCCACCTTTACAATGCCCACGTAATTCGCAGGCGAGCGCGGGACACTGCCCGGAAGAACCCTGGGATCATTGACAAAGCACCACTCCGTGTGAACAAACGATGGACTGCATGGCCCGTTCATGCAGCCACAGTTCCCCGCTCCAACGAAATGATACAGAGGCGAATGGATGCCCCTGATATCTTGCAAATGGAACCTGATTCCCGACCCAGTGGGGAGTTGGAAGAATGCATCACGGCATTCATATTAAAGACCTCCAAGGAGACCTTCCGAGCCAGGGAGTTGGATTTCGAGGAACTTGAAGATAATCCCCGGAATAAGATGCTCGACGGGGATGAACTGATGGACGATGAATTGGAGAAAAAGGAGGAGGACGAAGAAGAAGAGCCTGTCGATACAAGAATTCTCCGGCCGACCGTCCTTCTCGACGAGGACAAATCCATTCGCCAATTACGTCCGCTAGCCCGCAATGTTATTTCACAGGTAGACCGCCTTCTATACGGACTTCATTGCGCGATGAAGGGTCGCAAGTTCGAGGAAGATTCTGGTGACGAGCAATGGAGTGATTCGGACGAAGAAGACTATCTGACTCGAGGGAGTGCCAAGAGCAGAAGCAGAAGTCGATCACGTGGTCGAAGAAGTGCTCGAAAAGAGTCTCAGGAACGGGGCTTATCACGCCGTTCGAACAGTGTACGCATGTCAATTGCACTAGAGACGGAAGATGAAAACTTGCCAGGTGTTTCCCAAACCAGAGCACAATCTCGCGACTCCTCTGCTGGTCACGATAACAATCAACACATCAAAGGCCGACACAAACTGCGAGACTGGAGTGAAGTTCTGGGACTGGCATCAATGATGGGCCTTCCCACCCCCGCCGTAATGCGCGCGTCAAAGCGATGCGCCGATCTTTTCGGCGAGGACATGGAATTCCGAATAATGCCTGAAGGCAGGGTAAAAAAGAGAAGCAAGGCAGGTGCTGGAGAAGAATATGCCTACACCGAAAGCGAGAGCGAGATCGACTTGTCGCCAACGAGTCCTCGGCCAATCCTTCCACCAACCCCCCAGCCAACCCGCAGGCAGACCACCAAACCTGAGCTTAAACCAAGATCCCTGGCGAAGTTACCCAAAACCAAAGCGATGATACCCAAACCCAAACCCAAGTCGAAGACACCAAAATCCAACACGAAGATACCAGGCCAGCGACGCTCGAAGGCACACAAGAGTCCTGCGATCGTTCCTCCATCCTCATCTCCATCCCCGGCCCCGGAGGAGCCGGCACAACCGGCGCCGGAACCTACTGCAGAGGACACAGAACAAACCGCCGATCAAGAGCCAAAAGCAGCCAGACCAGGCGTTGGAAAGGGTCCTCATCGGAAAGTTGATATCCTATGTCCTGTCAGGACTTGCACTCGACATACGAATGGGTTTTCACGAAAATGGAACCTGAACCAGCATTTGAAAAAGTCTCATGGTATACATGTTGCTTCTGGGAATGAAACCTCGGTTGAGCAGGATGATCCGGTTATCGTACTCGAATAGATCGTCCGCTTTATGTAGGTTAGTCGCAAGTGTGAACCGGAGTACCTATCAATATCCATAGATTAGGCCCGGGTTGATCATGACTCTTTGGGTTCGGCCTTTCGGACTGGTATAGAAGTCATAATCCCAATAGAACATATTCCTAACCTAGCCATTGTACAGCCAGTAAGTTAGTAGAGAGCCGATGAAGATGCCAGGTCTCGCTGTAAAAGCCACAGAACGGAGTAACTGTTGGCGAGTGTCTATCACTAAGATGTATACAATACGGAATACTCTTAAGTGAGTCTCCTTTTAGGTCACTAGTGCGATCAATGAATGTACTCAACAGCTTTTTTTTTTTTTTTTTTTTTTTGGTTTTACTTCAATGGCCAAATCAACCGTTCCCTCGCGGCAAAGACATCGCCTTCACGATGTATGCGTCCTTTTTTTCAATTTTCGTCTTTTCCCTTCTCCCTCAGTAACCAAATGAACGAATAGATCATGAAAAGTATGTAGCTCAAAATCAAAGAATAGAAATCGAAAAGATGTCCACCCATATGGCTTCCGTCGGCGGAGGCCACATCCTCCGGTGTGAACTTGGTCGGGTCCAGCAGACTTACATGTCTACCGGAATAGCCGTTAGACCGCTGCGGAATTTATTCGGCCTTTTCTGGCCAGACCCTCTGGAGCATTTTGTAGACAGCAGTAGAGTCAACCAACGACACGCGAGATCTTTCAAGTCGACTTCCCGGTGCATCTTCTCAATCGCGAGCCCCAAGGCAATCGTTCTATCGTTGTCCCAGAAGCTTACGCCGAACTTGTGGAAGTTTCCGCGAAGACCAGCGTCTCTTACAAGTGGGTGAGTAGAATTCTGTGCTACAAACACTGCCGAAAGCGTTTTATGTTGGAGATTTACCAATCCGGTTCTGAATTGCTTGTGGCTCAACCCCCTAAACTCCCGGCAGCAGGTTGCGAACTTGGGGTTTTGCTTGCGTAGTTCTCCGTTCAACCATATTTGTGTGTCTCTCCAGGTGATGATAGTCTCAAGCTGTTCAAGCGGTGCGCTCTCCGTTTCGTCAAAGTGTGTAAAAGGTCTCCAGTAATCCACCAGTGCATTCTTCTCCAGGTCCTCGAGCGTGGTTGAATAGTGCGGTCTGATGGGATAAGGAGTAGGGGCGTTGGTTGTCAATATCTTTTTCTCGCAGACAACACGGCGTAGTACTGAGAAAACGTACGGCTTGAGGAGGGCCAGCGTCAGCCGCTGCTCCTCCAACCAAGAGAGAGGCCAATCCCCTCCACTGTTGTCAACCGCAATGGCATTAGGGAGCGAGGTCCCATTTTGTTTCCAAGGCGCCTTCTTGTACTTGAGCTCTTTGATCTTTCTAGTCTTTAAATGCCCCATGGCGGCGTGGAAGAAGGCATGGGCATCCGTCCGGATTCGACTCGCCAGGCTAATAAGGTGGCGCAAAATCTTTGGTGGGGTTGAAGCTGGGAGAGGAACCTCCCCGATGGTTGTGGGCGGGTCCCAGCTACCTCCACCGATATTGAGGTTGTAAAGGAAGCTATTGTTGAAATCATTCGGCACCGGGTTCCCATCCGCAGGCACACCTCTGGCCACCGCATCCTCTTTCCACCACAGGTATACGAGAGTTCGAAAGAGAGCGCGTGTATCTTCGTCGTAACCTCTATCAGGCTGGCGCAGGATTTTGTAGAGTAGGGCGCGGGGGTTGGTGTAGCTGGGCTCCATGCTGTAGGGTTCAATCCACGAATCCGTGATCTTTTCCACAACGTTTGGAAAAACCCCGGTTTTGTCCCCGAGATACTGATACACAGCTGGCGAAGCTTGACACAATTGATGCAGCGTAGTCAAGTCTGGCAAGTGGAAGAGAATTTCTTCGAGAGCAAACCATGGCAGGCTTCCGAATCGATCGGGGACCACTTGTGGTGGCGATACAGTGCACTTTGTAGAGAAAGACGAACTCAGCTTTGAGACTGAGGGAACATTGGGTAGACTTAATTCGATTGTCATGCCCGGAGTGTAGTTTGCCATGGCCTGATCCCAATCAAAATCGAAGAAAGCAGGCGACCACCTGCCAGACCGAGTATCCATATCATCTTCATTATGGACATCAACTGACCAGTCGTCTAGCTGGGTGTCCATGCCCTCAGAGGTACCCGTGACATGCTGATTTGCATCAGGGAAATGGTAAGATCTGTGCGGTCTGTATGAGGACATCTCGACTCAATTTGAGGAGTATCGAGTTAAAGAAGATGCGAGTGTGGGTGGTGGGTAAGTGTAGACAACAGGACAACTGTGTCCTCAGAATACCTTGCGAATGGGTAGACAACTAGTATCTGATGAGGTCTGTTAGCGTATAGGTTTTTAAAGTTTAAGCAAGAGCGCGACACCAACCTTCAGGCAAGTAAATGTAGTGAGCTGTCTCGACTAAACTGAGAAAATGATATTCGAACTTGGGCTGAGAACCCTGCGCGATTGCTATCAAAGTGGCCAAAGATAAAAGGATGGAATCAATGAAGTAGAGAGATGATAAAGGGTGAAGTAGAAAGGTGAAGGTGGTGAAGGGTGGAGAGAGGTGATGAAGAAGGGAAATGGTGTGTGGTTGCCCATTGGCGTTTTAAGTGAGAGAAAGTTGGCAGTTTCCTATGAGGGGGTATTGTCACATTTGCTATTCTGATATTCTATTGTGGCCTAGGAGATCGCGTTCAAAGTATCCTCTGCGGCTACATCTAGTGGCTGTATTCGGTATTAGGGCACGATATGCCAAAGAGACCAAACCCACGAAGGACAATTTGGTCGAGATATATCCATGAGATCAATCACTATAGGAGGTCTTCTAGTCCAATGCATTCACCTACGCTATACACCAGCTCCCTTGGTCATTGTAGACTTATCCATTGGTATAGTCCGGATGTGTGTCAGATGGTCTCATCTCTCGAGTAGACAGGTACCCCTTAGATCTCACCCGCAAATTCCAACCTGTATCCCCTCTGTAATATTTATTTTTCTCCTGCAACAGGCATGCATCGTGCTCTATACCAAGTGCTTTTGTATCGCGACGGCATGGCAGAACAGTGAATACTACTTACTACTAGAGGCGGCCACCTTTATGATTTTCTTTTGACTGAATATGCACTCTGCGGAGACTTCATGGCTATCTATAACAGTTACTTATACTTTTTATTTTATTGCCTTTTTTTCTATAAAAAAAACAAAGATTTCCCTCCTCTTCTTCGAGGGTGCTTGGTAATTTGTGGGGGAACAGACAGATGCGTGGTAGATGAGCTCGGGGTAATACCAATACACTATCTCAAGACCCGAGGTCCATACTCGGTGGTCATTGGTTGTAAATCCCGCGTTCCTGCAACACTGAGATTTCCATTGGCTGAAATTGCCGTGAGCTGTAATATTTATTTTCAAAATTACTTAAATTACCAGATCTATAAAATGGAACACTTTCTATAGAAAGAGTTATCTCTATTCCGGTTGGTTTTTCGTCGATATAACTTGAAAAAAGACACCAGAGAATGTGTTAGAACATATCCAAAAAGAACCAAATCAAAACCAAAACCAAGCGTGTTGATATACGACCCCGAGGTGGTGTATAAATGACATCAACTCCGCAGATCCCCGCTTTAAGCATGGAGCTTCCCCTTCGAAGATTACCATCTCTCATTCTTAGAATTCTCATTACACACATATTCGGTGCTTCTCGGACATAGAGAGCAATCACCATTGACTCACCAATTCGAGACACCGATACGCCCCCCACTAGAACTGTTGAACTGGTTCCTTTAAAGGCATCTCCAACTCCCCATCTCCAGCTCCCCGCAATCTCAATAAATCTTTCTCCATATTCCCTTTCTCTCTCTCCCTCTCCAAGGCTCCTCCTCGCCTTGATTTTATAATGGACCGCATCATCCGCCCCGTCGCCCGCCAATTACTGAGACCCCGACCGAGATATCCCTTTTCCATTCCCCCGACTGCTCGCGCACAGAGACTATACAGCATGAAACACAGCGCGCCGCAAGTAAGATCTGCAATTCATCGTGATCTTTCTTTGTGATTTATACTGATGGGTTATAGTTGAAAGACCAGTCGCTGTTCATTGAGAAGGCGTACATTAATGGCGAGTGGGTTGACGCGAAGTCCGGCGAGACATTCGAAGTCCACGGTAAGACCAAATTGAACATTCGGCTTTTAGATGGATCGCTGACTTTCTGTTCATTCAGACCCGGCCACTGGAAAATTGATCGGAACATGCCCCGAGCTTGATACATCCGATGTTGAGAAGGCGATTGAAGCCGCTTCCGAAGCCTTCCCTAAATTCCGCACAACACTAGGCCGCGAGCGTGCGCGCATGCTACGCCGGTGGTACGATTTGATGATAGAGAACGCAGATGATCTAGCGAAGCTGATTACATGGGAGAACGGAAAGCCCCTTGCGGATGCAAAGGGCGAGGTGAACTATGCCGCTAGCTTCTTCGAGTGGTTCAGTGAGGAAGCACCCCGCACATACGGCGACACAATTCCCGCCTCCGTCCCCGGAAACCGGGTTATTACTGTTAAGCAGCCCGTTGGTGTGTGCGGTTTGATTACGCCATGGAACTTCCCCGCGGCGATGATTACACGGAAGATTGGCCCTGCCTTGGCGGCGGGCTGCACAGTCGTGGCCAAGTCTCCCCAAGAGACGCCCTTCACAGCGAATGCAATTGCTGAGCTTGCGCACCGGGCTGGAATTCCCAAGGGTGTTGTCAACTTTGTTACCTCCTCGAAGAACACCCCTGCAGTTGGCGAGCTCATTACCACGCACCCCGAGGTGCGTAAGGTATCATTCACTGGCTCGACTAACGTCGGCCGCATCCTTGGAAAGCAGTCTGCGTCTACAATCAAGAAGGTCTCCTGGGAGCTCGGTGGTAACGCACCATTCATCGTTTTCGATGACGTTGAGGACCTTGACGCTGCCGTGATGGGTGCCATTAACTCCAAGTTCCGTAGCTCTGGCCAGACCTGCGTCTGCGCTAACCGTATCTACGTTCAAGAAGGCGTGTATGAGGAGTTTGCCAAGCGCTTTGTCGAGAAAGTCAAGGACTTCAAGCTCGGTGGTGGTTTCGAGGATGGCATCACCCACGGACCTGTCATTCACGAGCGCGCCGCCAACAAGGCCCACGAGCATGTGCAGGATGCTACTTCCAGAGGCGCCCAGATTGTCGTTGGTGGGCAAAGAGCTACCGCACTCGGACCTAACTTCTACCACCCCACTGTTCTTACTGGCATGACCAAGGATATGCTTCTCGCTTCCGAGGAGACTTTTGGTCCTGTCGCTGGTCTTTTCTCCTTCAAGACTGAGAAGGAGGTTGTTGAGCTGGCTAACCATGCCGAGGTTGGTCTCGCCGGTTACTTCTTCAGTGGTAATGTCCGCCGCATCTTCCGTGTTGCTGAGGCCCTGGAGGTCGGCATGGTTGGTGTCAACACTGGTTTGATTAGTGATGTTGCCTCTCCGTAAGTTTACATCGGCCCCTACAACTGGTATATCAATCTCTAACCTTTCTATAGATTCGGTGGTGTCAAGCAGAGTGGCTTCGGCCGTGAGGGCAGCAAGTATGGTATTGACGAGTTCATGACTATCAAGAGCATAACTTTCGGTGGTATGAGCCAGCCTCTACAGGAGTAAAAATCGGACACGAATGGTCTACTTGAAAACTATATATCTCTCTTAAAATTTAAAACCCACCACGCATTTACATGAACATTTTCCTCCTCTACATCCTCTATGCTTACTCTTGAATATCATGCAAAGTAATAGACCCTATTATAACCTTCCAATATCACGGTAATTTTCATAGGAAGCCAAACAGTGTTCTGTTGACACCCCGGTTCGGTTCGTCGCATATAGCAGCAGATCACCTGACCGTGTTAAGCATAATGCTGCCGGCAGAAATATCCACTGCCTCACCGCCCTCTATATCCCTTCTCCTACAACAAGCTAATCGGCGTCTCTATCAGCAAAAAGAAAACTTGCTGACACGTGCGATCATTTGTTTCGTACATAAGGCCATAATTTGATCTGATACAATGCGTCCATCCCCCCGTTTCCTCGCCGCAATCTCGCGCAGCCAGCCCTCCAAGCTGAAGAAGCCTTCCATCAGTCTAGACCATGTAAGTACTTCTCAAGCATGATTTGAACTATATGTACTAATTCAACCGCACAGTTTATTCAAAGACAGCGTGTGTTGTCATTATGGCGGGAAATTGTGCGAGCATTAATAAGTGCGCTTACCATCCCAATCACCGGGCTATGTATGAGACTAACAGACATTCTCAGAGGTCCCTCCTTCGTCAACACGGACTGAGCTGCACAAATATGCTCGCGATGAGTTTGAGCGCCATCGCGAAGTATCGGATGTGGTAAGTTGATAAGTTGATGTTTGATATTCTCGGTTCTATGGGAATGTTCATATTTGAGAATTATTTGACTGACTTTTTCTTGCTGCAGCAACATATAAGATACTTACTTTCGGTGTGAAGATCCAGTGTTGCGTTTGAATAATATGGATTGCTAATGAACCTAAAGACAGGCAAATCAGAATTCGAGACGATGAGACGCTATATCGATGAACAGATCGCTGGTTGACCTGTTTTGATGGGCTCTTATGTAAATATATTTTCCGTGTATTAAATCAACTCCTGTTTCAAGACATGTGGCGTGTAATGCAAAGTTAAAGGTGTATGCTGTTGAAGAATCGTTGATATTGGGCCGGAGGGTTGACCTTCATACGATTGGTTGCACTGCTCGAATCCGAGCTGTGGAGTCTTTCTATTGGCGGGAGATTACCAGAAGCCTACCTAGGTATATACTTGTATGTTGTACATATGCAGGAACATAATCATGAGAGACCATGTATTTGCATGGTCTTGCTGGTGAATATCTCTCAAACTATTGACCAGGCATTTCTCACAGGGAGCTTCCCTGTGATGGTACCCGAGGCTCCGTTTACTAGAACGGGAGAGATGCCAAGTTTCTCGAGCAAAGTGGTACGGTAGGAGGAGCTCCGGGGTTATCCTGCTCTTTCCGCATCAAGATATGCGGTTTAATAGAGTCCTCGTATTCGAGCAAGATACTGACAAACTTTGCGAGTGTTCAAGTCTTCAAGTCTTCAATCATTTTCTGTCGAATAATGTTGTACTCTTATTATTCACAGCTAGATGGTCTAGATCACGCTAAACTCGGCCACGTTGATCTTGTGAAGATATATGATGTCAGAACTCATCCTTAATCCCAGTTCAATCTTGGCGATTAAGATGGATCTGCAGCGGACAATATAGATGAGTATGTATAATACATTGCCACCTCCATACACAACTCCAAGTGTATTCCAACATCGAAGATGGTATCTTACAAATTTCATGTGGGCCAGATAGACGATTGGATGGCAGAACCGGAAGCGGCTGCCGGGTTACAGCTGTTTCGAGGCTTGCTTTGCTTTTGAGTCCAGATCCTGTCTAGATCCTTGACACAATACGTCATTGATTTTGGTCCAGACTCTTTTATATATTTGTGCGAGAGTCCCCATTGTAGGGTTGGTTCATATATCAAGTCGAACCTCTGCATGGTATATTTATGGAATTACCCTGCTCATTGACTTGGAAAATACATAAAATAAAAAAAACCCACTCAATTTTATTTATATTCCACATTACTCTCTCTATCCCTTTTATCACCTCCAATACTTTCACAATTGGTAGTGTGACCCTCCCAAAAAACCATGAAATCCGTGTCACCCACCTCATCCTCCCAACCCGTCAGCCCCGGGCGGGCAAAGCACCTCGAACGAAACCGCGTCGCCGCCAATAAATGCCGCGAAAGAAAGAAGCGAGAACACAAGCAAATCGAACGTCGTCTCACTGACGAAACTGAAAAGAAAGACATCCTCCTAGCACAATTGAACTGTCTACGAGAAGAAGTGTGGGGGTTGAAAAACCTCATCTTCCAGCACGCCGAGTGCCAAGACCTCCAAATCAACCACCAACTCGCCAAGATGACTCAGACCGTCCTGCAAAGCTCTCCCAACCAGGATCCGAATTCCAGCATGCCAACCGGCTCATCACCTACCTTTTCAACTGGGACCTATTCCGATGAGTCGGTCGCAGATGATGCAGGTGTCAATCCCATCGGGCCGGGCGGATGCAACAACGACTGGATGGTACTGCCAGCCATCGCGAACGATTTCACCCCTTACGAGCCAAATGGGCTTGTTGTCGATTCCATGTTTGAACACTTTATCAATGCCGACAATGGGTATACCTAAGGACTCACCATTCCGTTATTTTGGAAGATTCTGTTTAGCGATGGGCGTTAACTTCAATGTTGTATATTAATCTCAGGACGCGCAGGCCCTGCAGCTCGGAGGAGCTTTTACAAACACTCATATTGGAAAACTTTTGATAGTTACGAATCAACGAATATACGAATCTGCCCATGACATGGATACAATTTGCGCATCACATTACCAAAGAAATAGCATCCTCGGAACGGGATATTCCCATGACGCTGAGGCGTATATCACATTGTGACAAGTTCGTGCAGAAGCCTCGAAAGCGTTATCTGAGTCGAACCACTATTATTTCGGAGACCATTCCAAACGGGGTAGACACGCATGAAGATCCATAAAAACAAATGGAATGTGGAAGATTCTTCTCTGTCTGTGTCTGTGCTGTTTGTTGGAGATGTGGGGAGATCCACAAAGCCGCTGATGTCACTACCCGAGGGCTCTGACGGCATCGAAGTGGGTATATATTGGCATTTATATATTCTTTGGGATTCTTTTATATCATTCTTCATTTATATGCTCATATGCTTATATGTTTTATATCTGTATTATAGCAGTCTATCTACTTCCATATCTCCGATGATGCACAAGGCCTTACTTACACCACCCTACGGGGAGCAAATGGCAACCTTCTCCCAGAAATCAGTAATGGGTACGATATTCGAGACAACTGAACGGTTAGAACAACTAAAACTGGTAATACACTATATTGTGTATGCTAAGACTATATGAAACCAGCTATACGGAATGGAAGCCTATCGGGCTTGGAGTATCTGGAGTTGTCTGGTATTACTCCCTTGCCTCGGAGCAGACCATGATCCATCGAAACTAATGGTTACTTCCCGTATAGCTCTGCAAGGGATCAGCTTGCTCATCGCACTGTCGCTGTGAAGAAACTCGCGGAGCCATTCAAGACACCCGCTATTGCAAGACACATGTTTCGAGAAATAAAATTACTGCGACAGTTGCGACATGAAAACGTGAGCTTACCTATGGCTAGTATGAAATAATTGTCTAATTCCACGCCAGATCATCAACCTGACCGATATCTTTATTTCTCCCTCCGAAGACATGTATGAAGAGACTACACTGTCTTTACGTGCATTGAAAGTACTAATAACGTTAGATACCTTGTGACTGAACTTATGGCAACCGACCTTAATACAATTTTGAAGGCGAAAAGAGTGGAAAACCAATTCGTCCAATACTTCATGTATCAAATAATGGTTGGTGTCATCTATACTAACCCACCAGCAAGCATTATTTTCTGACCATCAACAATTCCAGCGTGGTCTAAAATATCTTCACTCAGCCGGCGTCATTCATCGAGATTTAAAGCCAAGCAACATCCTGGTCAATGAGAACTGCGACCTGAAAATATGCGACTTTGGCCTGGCCCGCATCCAAGAACCCAACATGACAGGCTATGTCTCGACGAGATACTACCGTGCCCCGGAGATCATGCTCACATGGCGAAAATATAACGAAAAAGTCGATATGTGGAGTGCCGGGTGCATCTTCGCGGAATTACTTCTGGGCGAACCATTATTCCCCGGAACGAATCATATCGACCAGTTTTGTGTTATAACCGACCTACTCGGCAATCCCCCCGAGGAAGTCATTAACAATATCACAAGTGAAAATGTTCGTAGTTGAGAACATACCTTTTTGAAGGGAAATGGGTTGGCTGATTTCGTATTTCTCTACAGACATTGAACTTTATCAACTCACTCCCACAACGAGACCGAAAGCCAATATCACAGCTCATCCCAAATGTTAATGCAGATGGTACGTGTCAAGCTATTTAGTAGGAAATCCAAATATTAACAATATCAGCGGCGGAATTGATCGACAGAATGCTTCAATTCGATCCTCAAGTACGAATCTCTGCAGCAGAAGCCCTCGAATCTCCATATCTCGCACCATACCACGATCCCAACGATGAACCAGTCGCAGCGGAAACATTCGACTGGGCGTTCCTTGAGGCAAATCTCCCAGCTGATATCTGGAAGACTATAATGTGAGTACTGGATACAGTACAGCCAATGCATCTCCGGATATCAATGCTGACTATTTCTAGGTACAGCGAGGTGTTGGCATTCCACGCAGAAATGGAACAATCTGGCCGTAGCGGGCCGATGAAATCAATACAACAGGTGGATGGAATGGATATCGGTTGAGCGATACTCTATATATCTCTTGGGTTCTCGGGTATCTTGGTTATTTTCTGTTCGTTTCAACTTTTTGTTGATTATACATTTTAATGCTAGGGTACATTCATGATTCATGATCAAAGATTTCAAATTTAATTTAGTTCAATTGCTTTTGACGGTGCAGTAAATCAGGTTGCACCGTCGGTAACGAATCAGAAAAAAGAGTGTAAGAACGGATTATGGTATTAGCATTAGGTCGATACATGACCAGACCATTTCTGGCATTATCAAGAACTCCTGGAATATAAACAGGGGTCGGACATGTGTTCATCAAATCAACCAAGTGGGGTATCGCTTTCATTTAGGAAACTCGACCGCGTGCGTATCATATCTTGCAAGTTATTGTTGCAAGTGTCATTGGTAAAACGTATGCTTCGGGGATGGGGACACCCATCTAGACAGCGGCATCAGCAGTGGCGACATCAGCACCAGTCATCTCCGGGGCAGCATCGTCGCGGTGGTTCTTCGCGTTGCGACGAGAGTTCTTCAGGTCTATGATGGCGATGGTGTTTGTAACAGCGAATGTAGCCCTGTTCAGAACAATGTATTAGATAATGTACGCAGGCATTAATACTTGGACGTCCGTTCTTACCATTGGATAGCCCCGACAACAATCAAAGCCTGAAGGGCGTGGCAGCTGGTATAGTGACACGCGCCAGGCGAAGGGATCATGACAGCCAAGGCGATCCAGCCGCTGAGCCAAAGGCCGCCGGTGAGCAGCTCGATGGCAGGGATGGCGATCTCATGTGAGAAGCGAGGGAAGCGGAGAGGTGCGAGGCCCAAGTATGGGATTGCGATGGCTGTTGTCCAGCACCCGTTGAAGAGCATGTAGTAGACGACATTTGAGTAGGACCATTCGTCGTACAGAGAAGCGATTTCTAGATGGAGTTAGCGTTGTTTTGATAAATGTTATGCACTGTGAAACAAACCATATGCGGTAAGGCCGATTGTGGCTAGGGACAGGATGGCCTGCACGATTCGTAATGGGTAGACCCAGGACAACATTTTGAATGTGGGAACGGTTCTTTTTTTTGTTGGGTATCACGTATACAGGGTGGTATATGTAGGGTCTTTTTGACAGGGGTATAGAAGAAAAGATTTAAAAAAACGAGATCTACGGTAATAGGGGAATACCATCGGCCTTTATACTCTCGTGAGAGACGGCCCATAAGGCGTCTAGCTCGTGCTCCACACGTCATGGCATTATAACTCGGAAAAGAGTGTGTATTGGGGAAGATTAGCAAGAGTTAGGCTGGATGGGTGGTGGAGTCTCGGGGCAGGGACTGAAAAGTTTGACGCAGGATCATTCTGATAGACCCTGGGGATTTCCAAATTAGGGTTTGGTGTCGAGTAGCTCAATTTCCCCGCCTTTGGATTATCTCCTTCCTCCATGCGTCTCACTATATTAGTCTTCAAGATGAAAAGCCCCTTCATCTTGTACTTTCTATACTCTAAAGAATTCAATGCTGTCATCTTGAAAACATACCCAGTGCACTTGACGGCCCTCCCGTTCCGAATATGCCCTAAGAATCGTATGTTAGTTACCGCACGACGCTAGCCTTGTCGATCTCACATGAAAGCCTCGGCCAAGCAAATACCTCCGGAGATGCTGATCCAAAATCAACGTGCTGCTTTTTCCGGTTTTCAGGATGTTGCCAAGAAGGTGGTTTACCTTGTTGTGCTAGTGCCGTGCTTGTTTGGCGCGGATCAATTGGGACATTTCGACCTCGGCATGTCGATCGTCGGACTCCCCGTATACAGTACGACCTCAGATACGACGAGTGAATGAGCTAATCGTACTTCTGTCACTCATGCTTACATATTCTAGAACAGCATAACCTTGGAATTCATCAGTTGAAAATCCAAACACGATTGGAGAATTTCGATGCATATGTACAAAAAAAAAAAGAAAAAGAATCTCTCCTATCTTACAGAGCGCATGCCATCAGTCCCGTGAAATAAGAGCCTTCACAGCACCCATAATCCCAGTAGATTTCTCTTCAGCAGGCTCAATCGATGATGGTGCCGCTTCAGACTCCTTGGGCGGCGCCGGTTTCTTCCCGACCTCCTTAGCCGCAGCCTCAATAGAAGCGTGACGCTCCCTCCACTCCCGATCCTCCTTATCACGAATCTCCAGCTCGCGCAACCACGCGTCACGCTTTTCTTGCTTCTTCCGAAGTTCCACGGCCTGGTCGAATTCCCGACGCTGTTGCCGCTCTGTCTTGAAGTACATTCCGCCGGCGACTAGCGCGACTAGTGTGAAGGCTTGTGCGTAGATACGGGCTCGGAACATTCGGTTCATTTCAACTGAGTCGCCGGATTTCATCGACCGGTAGGCGCGGTAGAGGGCATAGCATGTTGCGGCGCATCCTGTTGTAGTATGTATTAGTCTTTTTATGCTCGGAAGGAAATCCCAAGGGAGAAGGCGAGGCGGCTTTGTGCAGGGGAAAATTCGTACCAAGTGGAACGAGCGGCTCTTCCTTAAGGCGTCGTGTGAATTTTTGGACGCCGGTCTCTTCTGTAAATTGACTGCAGGACGTCGAGTGTTAGCAGATGACCCTTCCCTTCGTTTTCTCTACAGAATTGCCCGTGACCCCTTGCGGGATACGCGGATAATGTGTGATACATACGGGTTTCCCTCGTCAAAAGACGAAGGCACGGGTTCCCGGCTCATCGTGAAGTTGATCGTGGTCGGGTATGTTGACAGTGGTCGTGCGGAGTCCAATTGCGACCACGGGATGCGGAGTTTTCGGGTCGGGGATATTCAGTTGACGCTTATAAATGGGTTGTTTAGTGGCAAAGATTAAATCCGGCGAGGAATTGCAAGTTTCCGGTTGTTAGAATAGACTCCTCGAGAGGCCGGGGCGCACAGGGTCGAGCTGTGGTATGACGCCAAGTTTTCAAACATATCGGGTTATGTAACCTCCAGGGCTGGAGAGTACTCCATCTAACTAGTACTCTCTTTACCATGCTACACGGACATTAGCTTTTCTATTTTTCTTAAATGCTTCTATTCATAAGTCTCTTATTTTATGATTGGCCTAAAATGAAATAGAATAAAAAAAAAAAAAAAAAAACGAGTATAATTAGCCCCTCATTGTTGACCGCTATCTACTATGGACGTCCTACCTGTACCTATACCTCCAGGGCTGCTACCCAACGTTCTCTTCAGTCATTCAGTCTAAGGGATACATAATTTCACATTTGTCTGAAATTTTATTTTCAGCTTTGACCTCATCTACTTTATTTCATCCCTTTAACACTCCTAAATCCCCCAACTTAAGCTTTATTTAGGGCTAGCACTTGGGGTTGATGACATAAGGTTGTCCGATCACCGGTCCCGCCTCTGCAAGAAAAAAGAGTCAGAGTTTAGAATTTGCCGACTTATCAAGTTCTTTTCTCATCAGAATTGGGATTGATTGTCTCCATAATTTGGCAGAGATCAACCTGAACTTATCATGTCTGACGACACTTCCAACGGCGTTACGACGCCCGTCACCCCCAAGATGAGCGGGCTTGCGTTGACTGAGTATACCGCCGCTCCGACGCCGCCCTCTGAACGCGAGCAGAGAACCCCCGGCTTGCCTCCTAATTGGGGAATCCCCGAGGCCTTCCTGCTTCCCAACGGCTACCCAGATGTAATTCAAGCTTCGCAATTCCCACAGAGATCTTCAAATTCTAACATTGCCCCGCGATTCTAGTATCTCCGGTTGATTTTGACGTCACGGGTTTACGATGTTATTGAAGAAAGCCCTCTTACCCATGCTGTCAACCTGAGTGCCCGGCTGAAAAGCCGAGTCCTTCTCAAGCGTGAGGATTTGCTTCCAGTGTTCAGCTTCAAGCTCCGTGGCGCATACAACAAGATGGCTCATTTGAACAATGAGCAGCGCTGGAAGGGCGTTATTGCTTGCTCTGCTGGTGAGTTTGTACTTGGTAGATGAAATAAACCAGAAGTGCCTTGTACTCACTCAATATAGGAAACCACGCTCAAGGTGTGGCCTTTTCTGCCCGCAAGCTCAGAATCCCTGCTACCATCGTCATGCCCTCCGGTACCCCCGCCATTAAACATCTGAATGTTGCTCGCTTGGGAGGAAGTGTGGTTCTTCACGGAATGGACTTTGATGCCGCCAAGGATGAGGCCCACCGATTGGAGAAGCAGCATGGTCTGACAAACATCCCACCATTCGACGACCCTTATGTCATTGCCGGCCAAGGTACCATCGGTATGGAGCTTCTGCGCCAGGCAAACTTGGACAAGCTCGAGGCAGTCTTCTGCGCTGTTGGTGGAGGTGGTCTGATTGCCGGCATTGGAGTTTACCTCAAGCGCATCGCACCCCAGGTGAAGGTCATCGGTGTCGAGGCTTACGATGCCAATGCTATGGCTCAGTCTCTCGATGCGGGTAACAGAGTTTTCCTCAAGGAGGTTGGCCTCTTTGCAGACGGTGCAGCAGTCAAGTCTGTTGGCGAAGAAACTTGGCGTCTCAGCCGCGAGGTCATCGACGATATCATCCAGGTGTCCACCGACGAGACCTGCGCGGCCATCAAGGACGCTTTCGAGGATACCCGGTCCATCGTCGAGCCCGCCGGCGCTCTCGCTCTTGCCGGTCTCAAGAAGTACATCGCCAAGAACCCGAGCGCTGACCCCAACCGCGAGCTCATTGCCATTGCCTCCGGTGCCAACATGGACTTCGATCGTCTGCGGTTTGTTGCTGAGCGTGCTGCCCTTGGCGAGAAGAAGGAGGCACTCCTTAGCGTGAAGATCCCCGAGAAGCCTGGTGCATTCGCCAAGCTCGTTGAGGTTGTTCTGCCTCACGCTGTTACCGCATTCAACTACCGCTATGCCCGCGAAGACTCGGCCGATGTCCTGATGGGTATCTCTCTATCTGCCTCGACTGGCCGCGAAGACCTGGCCAAGATTATGGCAGAGCTGGAGAAGGGCGGCATGAGCTGCCGGGACTTGAGTGACGATGAACTTGCCAAGCGTCATGTGCGCTTCCTCGTCGGCGGCCGCTGCGAGGTCGCCGATGAGCGTATCTTCATGTTCGAGTTCCCCGAGCGTCCTGGTGCTCTCGCCAAGTTCCTCACCACCCTCCGTCCTGAACAGAATATCTCTTTGTTCCACTACCGCAACTATGGCGGTGATGTGGGCAAGGTTTTGGCTGGAATCCAGTGCCCGTCGCCCGAGAAGGAGGACTTGGAGGCATTCCTTCGGGATCTAGGCTATCCGTTTACTGAGCACACTGACTCTCCCACTTACAAGACCTTCTTGCGTTCGGAATAAGCATTTTGTTTTAGAATCGCAAAGGAAGAGATGGTGGGTAATGAGAAGATGCATTGTTCATAGCTTGTTGTGGTTTAAGCGGTTTAAGGTCCAGGCCTGGTTTTGTCTCTTGTTTGGCGTTTGGTTCGTTTTATTAGACCCTCTGTATCATAGGTCACATAGTCTGCTTTTCGGGGTCCTTACTACATACTTGCATAGGTACAAATATCCTCAATCTTGCGTTCATGGACAATTACTGTCTTGCAGATCAGATCTGAATTTCAGCAGCAGATATATTCCGGCTAGCCTCTCCGGATAATTGCAAAAAATAAAACAGACTTGTCTATCAAATCACTAAATAAATACATACACGCTTTCGCATTATCTTCTATTTTCCCTGCCGTCCTTTTACTTGTAGTGCAAACTCGACCAATCACAGCGACTAACCCCCTCGGCCGACCGGCGATACAGAAGCTCCGGCCAACATTTGCGATCGCAGCACGAGAGAACCTTTGGAGCCAAACATTAACCTCGCACCGCACCCCGATACCTCTTGTTCTTCATAAGGTGATACTCGAGGCGCAGCCTCCAATTGATCACCTTCCGTCGAGATAGACCAAATCCGAAAACCGCCGCCATGTTCTCCCTCCGCTCCGTCTTCGGTGCCTCCTCCGGGGCCCTCCGCCAATTCCTCCCCTCTGTGACCACCCGGAGCGCCTCATTACGGCCTTTCTCGCACATGATTCGCAACAGCCTGACGAGACTTCGTGGACAAGCAAAGACCGGCAATGCTGTTGCCTTGGCGAATGGGTCTGCTAGACAGGTGGAGCAGGTCCGGGGAATGAAGACTCGGTCTTCTGTTAAGAGACTGTGCGATGGCTGCAAGGTATGATTTTAAGAAACTGGATACGTTCATGTTGGAATGATTGGGAAATTGTGTTCTGGCTGGTGCTGACTGCTGAACAGCCCGTTCACCGGAAAGGTCGTGTCTACATCATCTGGTGAGTAATTACCTTGTGCCATTGAAGGCTATTCTTGAAGTCGATCGGGTTTAATATGGTTTTTTGTTATTTTAGCTCGAAGAATCCCAAGCACAAGCAACGACAGGGGAAATAGAGTCGTCGCTTTCCGTCATTTTTCTCCGACAGCGTGCATCGCTATATCCTTCCGCGGCAGCCTTTACTCGAACAATCTGAGATATCGGCAATATTTCTAGACATACAAATATGCTCTCGATACCCAGCTCGTCTTTAAATCCCTTGGATACACGACTTGCCGTCGCGGAACTCGGATAGGCGGCATACTTTTGCATCTTGTTTCAAAACCAGACAGTGGTTGGATACCACGGCGCTTGTGTATTTTTCTTGTATAGTAGTGTGGCAATCAAGTTTATTGGGTCTTCATGTTTCAATTCAACTCATAAAATGATCTGCAATCTTGCCTTCTTGGATGGCCATTATCTATGGATATATGTGCAGTTTACCCCATACAACGGCTTCTCACCATACTCAAACCTTCAAACACCCGAGATATCGCCGATTTCAATGTTGATATCTCATTTGATGATTATACATCCACCAAATGGTAATCTCCCGGCTCTGATGGGCCGATGTAAATAATCACGTGATGCGTTCCTGGCTTCCCCGAACTTTTTTTTCGGGGAGCCAACTAAACATTCAATTTCGCGTTGATCATATCAATTCTGGTGTGGTTGGATCATCACCATGCGGTCTCCTTCTCTTGCACGGTTACAATCCCGCGCGGTGTCTGGTTTGACCAGATCAGCTCGTTTCCAACCCCAGACTCTTCTGCGCCAGCGATGCGCTTCTACAGCCGCGTTCCGGTCCGCCGCTGTTGCGCCGACTTATCAGTCGAAGTTGGGACAATGGGACCAGCGCCGAAATGCCTCTGCTGTTGCTTCTGCAGTGTAAGTATACTCGTCAGACCGATCTATTTCTGTTACTCTTTTTAATGTTGTTATTATTAGTCTCGAGGCTGCTAAGGCCGACCCGGCGAGTCTATCCCAAGCCACCATTATTGACAGTCTCGATCCGGTCGAGGCCGCTCGTCTTAACAGGTGTCGTAACATCGGTATTGCTGTACGTAATATCCCAATTGGTTCGTGTCTGGTTTTGGTTTTTGTCTAATGAAGTCTTCCTGCACAGGCCCACATCGACAGCGGTAAAACCACCTGTACCGAGCGAGTTCTTTTCTACACTGGTCGTATCAAGGCTATCCACGAGGTCCGCGGGCGTGACAGCGTCGGTGCCAAGATGGACTCCATGGATCTGGAACGTGAGAAGGGTATTACCATCCAGTCTGCGGCCACTTTCTGTGACTGGGTTAAGAAGGATAAGGATGGTGTTGACCAGAAGTACCACCTCAACTTGATTGATACCCCCGGTCACATTGATTTCACCATCGAGGTCGAGAGAGCGCTGCGCGTTCTGGACGGCGCTGTCATGATTCTGTGTGCTGTCTCAGGTGTCCAGTCCCAAACGATTACCGTCGATCGCCAAATGCGCCGCTACAACGTTCCCCGTATCTCATTCGTCAACAAGATGGACCGTATGGGTGCTAACCCCTTCAAGGCTGTTGATCAGATCAACACTAAGCTCAAGATCCCCGCCGCTGCTGTTCAGGTCCCCATCGGTGCCGAGGACGAGTTCGAGGGTGTCGTTGATTTGATCCGCATGAAGGCCCTATACAACGTTGGCGGGAGTGGTGAGGAGATCGTGGAGAAGGATGAAATCCCCGAGAAGGTCAAGGCCATTGCCGAGGAGCGCCGCACTATGCTCATCGAGACTCTTGCCGATGTTGATGATGAGATCGCGGAGATGTTCTTGGAAGAGGTCATTCCTAGCGAGGATCAGATCCGTGCCGCCATCCGCCGTGCTACTATTGGCTTGAAGTTCACCCCTGTCTTCATGGGATCTGCTCTGGCTAACAAGTCAGTTCAGCCCATGCTGGACGGTGTTATTGACTTCCTTCCTAACCCCGCCGAGGTTGAGAACCTTGCCCTTGACCAGAAGCGCGACGAAGCGTCCGTCAAGCTTGTCCCCTATAACTCTCTTCCTTTTGTTGGTCTGGCCTTCAAGCTGGAAGAGAGCAACTTTGGTCAACTGACCTACATCCGTGTCTACCAGGGTACTCTCCGTAAGGGCGCCAATGTCTTCAACGCTCGCAACAGCAAGAAGGTCAAGGTTCCCCGTATTGTCCGCATGCACTCCAACGATATGGAGGAAGTCAGCGAGATTGGCGCTGGTGAGATCTGTGCCGTGTTCGGTATTGAGTGTGCATCTGGTGACACCTTCACGGATGGAACTCTCGGCTACAGCATGTCCTCCATGTTCGTTCCCGAGCCCGTCATCTCGCTCTCTATCAAGCCCAAGCAGAGCAAGGACGGTGCCAACTTCTCCAAGGCCATGGCCCGCTTCCAGAGAGAGGACCCTACTTTCCGTGTATCCTACGATAGCGAGAGTGACCAGACCATTATCTCCGGAATGGGTGAACTCCACCTTGACATCTACGTCGAGCGTATGCGTCGTGAGTACCGTGTCGATTGCGAGACTGGTCAGCCCCAAGTCGCCTACCGTGAGACTATCGGCAACCGCGTTGAGTTCGACCACCTGCTCAAGAAGCAGTCCGGTGGACCTGGTGAATTCGCCCGTGTTATGGGATTCATGGAGCCTACCGGCGTCCTCGAGGAGAACAAGTTCGAGCAGCAAGTTATTGGAGGCAGCATTTCGGAGAAGTTCCTGTACGCTTGCGAGAAGGGTTTCAACCTCTCTTGTGAAAAGGGTCCTCTGATCGGCCACAAGGTTCTCGGTACTCGCATGGTCATCAACGACGGTGCTACTCACATGACTGATTCTTCTGAAATGTCCTTCAAGAACGCCACCCAGCAGGCGTTCCGCAAGGCCTTCGCAGAAAGTCAGCCCTCTGTTCTGGAACCTCTCATGAAGACGGTCGTGACCGCTCCCACTGAGTTCCAGGGTGATGTCATCGGCCTGCTGAACAAGCGCGGTGCCACTATCAACGACACCGAGACTGGTGTTGACGAGTTCACTGTCTACGCTGACTGCAGTCTGAACGGCATGTTCGGCTTCAGCAGTAACTTGCGTGCCGCTACTCAGGGCAAGGGTGAATACACCATGGAGTTCAGCCACTACGAGAAGGCTCCTCCTCACATGCAGTATGTTTCAACCCGAAGTACTTCTCTTACTATATTGTCAATTACTAACCGTCTTCTCCTACAGAAAGGAACTCATTGCCAAGTACCTGAAGGCCCAGGCCGACAGACACAAGAAATAAACGATAAAATATGTAATAAACCCCCACCCACTCCGACTACTCTAGCAACCCAAGCCAGGCAGTGCCTGACGTTGGCTCTTGCTGGAGCTAAGAAGCAGCATATTTTGCTCTGGATCCCTGCTGCTTCTTCCATCATCAACAACTCCCCCTGTACTATTTACGCATGGCACTATATCACATTGTGACTTTCTGGGACCTGTATTTCAAGATCAAGATACTACTTTCTACTCTCCTGTCTGAACAAATAGATTATTGTTTTATTATCTTTTTTCTTTCCTTAAAATTTTTCTTTCCAGCGTTATATATTTAAAGAATCCAGTTCATGAGACAAAAGTATATTCAGAAATGTGTCCAGCTTTATCATTGCATACCACTAATGTTAAAATATCTCGAATACCTTAACCAAAATATATATATATATCCCATCCGACTCCAATTCTCATTTTACCTTAACATGATTCCCGATATAGGAGAAGATATGTGTTGATTATTGACCCTGCTGAGTATATATTCGGATCTCTAGCCCAACCCTAATATATCACCTCAACATCTCCAGTTGTTCTCTCATCACGCTCTCGAGCCTGGCGCAAGTCCTCGACTCCCGCCTTCTTCTTAAGCTTAGGAGGAGCCGGGGGAGGACTATAATGAACATGAGCATAAACATTGTCAGAGGAACCTGGAGCATGTGGTTGATTGACGTTAACGGAAGGCCCTGGACAAGCTGCCGCAGACGAACGCAGGCCAGTCTCATCACTTCCCTGTTCAATGTTAGCACGTTCGCCTGGCACACAGTCGGCCCATCGGACTTTAAGCTTCTTCTCTGACATGAAAGTCGACACACGCACAGACGAGGGATTTGGACTCGAGGGATGTGAAAGGGGTGGGAGGGGGAGGGCTTTACGGGAAATAGCCCTGTCAGTGGATAGGGTTGGGAGAGGCTTCCTAGTAATCACAGGAAGAGAAGGGAGGGGCTTATCCTGCGATATGTCAGTCTGCTTCGAGAAATCTTCAACTCTATCGGCCCTAGACTCAGGCAGAGGAAGGTCCTCTGAGGAATCATTCTTGTGGAGGTTGAATCTCCGGAATGCCTGGATGGTGGGAAAATCTTCCTCACTCACACCAGCGAACAACGGGGGCAGATCTTCGTCTAGATGCCGATTGTCGTCTAACATGCCCATGAGGTTTTCAAGCTCCGGGTCGCTAAGTGCACCCATGAAGAGGGGCCATCTCGGATCAGCAGGCGGTGGTGTAGGGATGCGAGGTGGAGGATCCTTCCTGGTAATAGTGGAGCTTCCAGCGACACTCTTTCTCTGAATAGCTGGTGGATTCTGGTCAGTGTCTTCGGGATAGATGGTGACATTATCCCAGATTGGGGCGCCTGCTTCGTCTCGGATTTGGTAGAATGCCAACAGACGACGGGCGATGTGTAGCTGGGTGTGTCCATCCCGGACCATCGTGGTCAGTAAGTAATCCAGATGAAAGTCTTGTTCGTACAAGACTGTCACGAGGAATGCACCAATGGCGTCGCCGGGGACCTTGCCCTCAATCCATGTCCTCAGGCATGTCCTCAAGTAATGGATGGCCTTGAGGTCCCAGGAAATGAGAAGGTGGCGTTCTTGAACGGCACGAATGGCATCGGCTGGTCTGTCCTCCAAGAATGTCTGGAAGAGGGCGTATAGTTGCCACTGGCTTGTGCTAGCTTCCTTGTATGAGCGACTGAGATGGGGATTTACTGGGCCTAAGTTAGTGGAGATGTTGTTACCTGTTGGAGACATTTTCGGTGTGTAAGATGAGCGATATACCGCGAAAGAATATACCTGAGGGGGGGCTGGTTTGGTTCTGAAAAGAAATGCTGTGCGTGTCAAAATCCGGGAAAGATGATTGAATCTAACGGATATCTCCAGGTATTTATGCTTCTTAGTCCTTTTTACATAGTGATGGTTGCCATTGTTTAAGCATAGGCAAGAGAAATAGAACAAAGAGGTATGTATGCCTGCCCACTTCCAGGTCTTTGGATCAAAGAAGATATTGTTCTGAAATATCCTGCAAGAGGGACAAAATCGAACAAAGAAGAGCCAAGAGCTTTGTTCCAACAATTTCGAGTCATTCATTGTCGACTAGTTGCTTGTAGGGGAATATCATCTCGTATCATGCCCATGTCACCACCTGCAGGCTGAAAGGCAATCAGTGGGCTAGTCTCATCATCAAAAGAGGCGAATGAGGATTGTGTGAATCCAAAGAAATGCATTGGAACAGGGACGGGACAGTTGAATTATGTACAAAAGCTGAAGACAATATTATGGGGATCATTTGACACAGATGCAACGCTCCATTAAATCATATATGGTGGAGTAGAAAAGAAGACAGCGGGCATAAAAAGCTCACTGCAAGGGTATATGCACGCCAATAGAGGCGATGGAGTTAAAAACCAGTAATGTAAAAATTAGAGTCCCCTAAGGTAGTCGGGACAAAGAAAGAATCAAGAAGGGATATCCACATGGGGTCTGTAATCAAAGCCACAAGATCCATCGGATACCAGTAAAGGCACCCCGGAAGACACCACGCACGAGCTTGAAACCCATGACAATAAGCCACACCCACCAAAGCATAGCAACTAAGGCCCATTCCAAAACCATGAACCCAGTGCGACGGATCCACCGCAATCGACGGCGACGCTTACGAAGGCCTTTGTCAAGGGCATCACTCAACTGCTTAACAGCAAGTGTGCTGGTCGTGTTGAGCTGGACACACAAATCCTCCGCGTCATTTGCCGTGGCTCGGACGCGAGGAGCCAGGGAATTATTGACCAGGCTTTCTAGGTTCTTCAGCTGGGATCGAAGAGGCGACGAGGTGGAGGTGGAGAAATGGTGCATAGATTGTTGGAACGAGTATTGGGTGTGCTCGAAACGCTGGAGGAGGCACTGAGCAGCGAGGTCGAACTCGCCGACCCGTGTCACCCGTGGAACAGATGAACCAGGGCCCATGGAGCTTTGAAGCCAGTTAGGAACTTGTTCACGGGGAGTGTGGGCTCGGCGAGTAATCTCCCGCGCTTTGATCCCCGATGACAACAGAAGAGCCCGTGTGCGCTCGACTTCGGGTTTACCAGGTACGCCGGTGTCAATCAAGGTGTGGATACTGCGCCCAGATATACTCCAGGCACGACTAGCACCTGAAAGGCCAGAGCGTCTTCCCTCCGGTGAAAGCCCTGGTGATGCTCGAGCGTTGGCAAGCCCTGTGACGGGAGGCCGTGTTAAGCTGAAAGGCACAGAAGGGTCTTTAATCTCGTGGCGCTTTGTCCGTTCCGTGTGCATAGAAGGGCTGAAATCCAGCGTTTTGCTGCGTGGCAGCGAGAACTTCTTGGGAGAATCACGGGGACCATAATTTCTTGCAGAGGAAACTCGTTCGCGAGGACTGCCGAAATCTGTCACCTCTGCTACTTCGCTTCGTTCATCTTGCCGCAGGGGTGATGTGAAGGTCGGCAGAGAGGGGATGAAGTTTCGGGATGAGTTCTTCTCGGAATTTCTGCGAGTCAATCGCCCAGGCTCATCTGTAAACGTTGGCAGGCGACGTAGAAGGCCTTTGGGGCCAGATTTCCTGTCACCCCTAGATTCTTCATCAGAATCACTATCATCCGATGCAAAAGTGGTCGCGGACGATGATTTCCGAGATTCGGGATCTGCATCTTTCTTCAGGATGAGATCTCCGACTTTGGAAACCTCGTTGCCCACGATCTCTGCTATGCGACCTGGTCCCTTGAATATTCCTCGTAGCTTTGATTCGGGAAGATAGGGCCCTTTACGGGACCGATGTCCATCTACCCGATTGCCTTCCTGTGTGCCTTGGTCATCATTATAGGATGACGACACAACGTCAGGAAGAGGACTTGGCTCGAGCTTGGAAGCACCCTCCGTCCGTGAAGGCGCCGTCAGATTTCGCTGACGCAAAGTATCGGGTTCCGGCAATTCATCTTCCCGCTCTCGCTCTCGATCTGCTTGCTTGCTCTTGCTGCGCTCGTGGCGTGAAACAATCTTATGACGGAGCCCCTTCTTTGCGGGCGAGGGAGACCGACTTGAGGGGGTGACAGATTTACTGCTATGCTTGGGAAGTAGCCAACACGAGCGGGAGAGTTAGGCGCAGTGCTATCCATGCCTTCTAGGGATATACGAGGATTGTGCCGGTCATCAAGACTGCCTGCTGATGAGATAGAGCCCTTTCTGTGCTTGCGGGCTTGCTTCGTGTTGACCGATAACGGCTCGGTTGGTTGTGGTGTCCTTCCCCGATCATATTCATCATTAAGAACAGCTGGAGATTTGGCGCGGGATGTCCGAGATCCGGAGTGTGCATGTTCGACGAATCTTTGAACATGGTCGCGGATATTCTCACGAGACATGCGAGGCTTTTCATCAACGGAAGGGTGGGTATCTGAGCTTGAAGAACTCGATACGCTAGCCGAACGCATTTTGACATGATCCCATCGTGACGGCTTTCGTTTGCTGGAAGCACTACGGCTGCGTAAGCTGTGCGAATGACTTCGAAACCTGTGCTTGTGCCGCCCACGACGCACACTCTTGAATTCTTGCGCCAATGCAGGGTGAGAGCTGGACACAGAAGTGTGCGGTGACGAACGTGCCTCTCTAGGATCTGCCATTTCAACCGAAAGGCGCTGCTGCTTTTGAGGCGCCCCAAAATCGTCGCTTGCGTCCAGGCTAACTAATTCTGTAGAGTCGGGGTAGAGTTTAAAGCCATCCTTATCGACCACCTTCGTCTTGTTGACACCATATTCCAGCCAGGCGGCATCGGCCAGAAGCTCTGCCGGCGAGGTCTTCCAATCAAGACGTGGTCGACGGGCCTTCATGCTGCTGGTTCGGCTGACTCGTCGCAAGCTTGATCCCGGAGATGTAGGCATCGCATCTATATCTTCGTGTTCCCCCATAGATACGTGGCGACGACCTTGTTGGAAAGGTGGCAGCTTTAAGCAATCTAGCGGGTCGTACTCTCTTTGGCTGTATTTTTGCTCGACCTCATTGATCCATTGGTGGACTCTTTCAACGTCATGCCATCCTTCTGCGGCTGGATCAATGGTGCATTTCTCACGGTATCTGACTTTCCGGTTGCGAATCATTTGAAGCGGGTTATAGCCGCGGTAGGCTTTCCGTGGTGTAGACTCGGCGTCAGCCTTCACTGCATCTCGAAGAGGTGGTAATGAGGGCAGTAGGCGCATATATTCATGAAATAAATCAAAATGATTACGTGCTCTCTCAGCACGAGCCAACGTGCTTTCGGAAAGTTCGTATGCCCTGTGATCCTCAATCGCGGATCGAGGCAATAAATTCACAACAGATGATTGGTCTAAGCTCGGCAGTGTCCCCTGTGACAAACGATTACCGGAGACCTGGGTAAAATTGCGATACGGTGAGTCGCGCTGGAAATTCCTCGCACGTGGGGAATACGAATAGCCGTCTACTGTCGGAACAGCAGGTTGAGAGACAGATATTGGTCTTCGGCTCTCGGAGCCCGGGGGTATTCCAGAAGCTGTCCTCCTCCGAGATTCATTGAGATTCAAGGCTAAGTTGACGATCTGAATCGAGTCCCTATCGAGTCCGGGAGTTGAATGTGCCACATTGTCTTCTTGTACCTCGGGCTGTGAGGAGCTTCCGGAGGGTTGTGTATCAGGAGGCGTAGGAGCCTGCGGAGCACTGGTCGGAACTGAACTTTCATCCTCTGGCATCGCTTCAGACTCGCGGTGCTTATGCCGGCTCCATGGGAATCGCGAGCGTTTCTTGGGGACCACGATATCCGGCTCGGGAACGCTGCGCTTCGGCTGGGGAGGTTCTGACGGGCGAGGGCGGTGCAAGCTAACTCTTGTGCTTCGCGGACGAGGTAACGAGTCGAGCAAGAAGCCACTTGAGCTCTGGGTCCTACGCTGGCCCGGTGTCCTTCGATCTCCATCACGAGAACCGCTGCCCAGTGTAGTACCTTCTAACTCCCCGCTCGCTCGGTCGTCGTTCTGTCGGGGCGGGGTCTGGCGAAATGAGCCCCCATCGGATCGTAGTAAAGATGGCGCAGTTCCTGAGGATCGGTTTCGGGGTTGTATATTCGCCGGAGACATTGAAGATCGTACAAGGGGCTCGTTCGGTTGTTGCGACATTGCTGCGGGAAGGGCAACAATGCTAGATGACAACGTTCGAGACAAAGACAGACATACTTTGCCCAGACACAAGCATAAGTGCGATCAGCCAAGTTGGCAAGGGTTCAAGCACTAGTGAAATTAAAGACAATGTTGCATGATTAGCCTGCAAGACGTAACATTATGCCCAGTGTAGATCAGAATGCGCGCCAGGCAATGTTACGTAATCACTTTATTCGCAGCTATGGACCCGCCTAAGCATGAAACCCTGGAAGACTTGAGCATCAAACTTATTCGGCAGTGAATTTAAGGTCAAAAGATGAATTGAGATCTAGAGTACAGGTGTCAGATGATCCACACCTTAGATAAGCCAATAGATACGGGGAAGTTCTAGCATTTGGGTCTAAAGCACAAGTACAACTAGAGGTACAGTTCCTGTAAAAGATGAGGATATACAGGGGGAAATGAATTCAGCTTCGCTCAAAATATGCGCTTACTCAACACGCAAGCACTGGAGGCGGGCCTCAGCCTCGATGACCTGTGAAAAGATAACCTGTTAGTGGATCTGTTGCGAATTACCAAACCGAGAGGGGCAACAAAAACTTACTTCGAGAGCCTGTCTGACTTCAAGAACTTTGCGAACATCACCCAGCCAGTCCTTGCTCAGAATCTTAGCCCAGCCTTGGAGAGTGTTCATCTCCCGAGCGGCGGCGTCAACATCGCCCTGCTGCAACAAACTCTCAGTGCGCACGAGAATGCTCTCGACATCATCACCCTCGGACAAAGCATCCTTCTTGAACATGACCTTGCTCAGAACGAGGCTAGCAGCGTGGCTGGCCACACCGGCATCCTCGGGGAGCAGACTAGCCTTGCGGACTTCACTTGCAACTCGGCGGAAACGCTCGAAGATCTGAGTAGTGGAGGGGATACCACGCTGGTAAGCGGTGGGGTTGATAGATGCGATGGCAGCCTCAACGACGGCATCACCAGCAGCAAGCTCCTTCACGGCCACAAGCTCACGGACAAACGGACGGGGGGGACCCAGCACGCTCGACCACAGTGCGAACGGCATCCAGGGCGACCTGCAGCTGCTGAGTCTTGAGATTGGCGTCAATAACGTCGCTCCATCCAGCGGTCAGCTTCTCAAGCTCGTTAATGTCGGCTGTGAGCTCAGTCAACTTGCTCAGACGACCCTCACGCTCGCGTTCGACCAGGCCCTTGACCTCGTGGACATACTTGCGGTTGAGCTCGATGGCCTGCTCAACAAGCTCATTCTGAAGACGCTGCTCAGCAAGCTCCTGCGCGTGGCGGAGCTCGGTGTTGACCTTCTGCTGGTACGCGTGGGCGAGCTTCTCGCGCTCGGCCTCGAACTCTTCACGGAATGAAGCAAGATCAGTGGAGCGCACTTCCTCAAATTGGCGCATCAATTCACGTGCCGACTCATCAAAGGTAGCGTGCAGCTTGTTAAGCTCTTCCTGGGCGGTGTTGCGAGCCTCGCTGCGAATAGCAGCGATCTTCTCAGCAATCTTCTCCAGCTCGCCCTTGGCCTTGGCGACAGGCGCAGAGTACTTGCTGGAGTTTTCGTCGGCACTAATGACGGTAACGATATCGTTGAAGGTCTTAACTAGATCCTGGACAACACTGTCATCGCCATCCTGCAGCTGGAGCAATTCAATGGTGCTGGCAGCAACAGCAGGTTGTCTGGGCTCATCCAGTGAGACGGGCTTCTTCGCCTCGGGTTCGGACTCAGGCTTAGTTTCCTTAGAGCTGTGCTTCGAGGCCGTGTCTTCCTTGGCCTTGATGACTGTAGCGTTCCGATCCTCGGGCTTGGCGGCCACGGACTTGGTTTGGCTCTCGTGAGCTGCCTTCTTAGCATCGTGGTCGGCCTTCTCCTCTTCAGCAAGCTTCCAAGAAAGACCGCTCTTGCCAGGAATTGTGACAGCCTTCCCCTCTTCTCGGGGTACAGCCGGGAGACGGTTTTGGTGTCTCAGGGCGTTGGGGAAGCGGCGGTAGAAGTCGCGCTCCTCAAAGTAAAGAACGGATTCTTCACCGTAGGGAATGTACTCGGTAAAGAAATCGTGGAAGTTATCAAACTTCAGGGCCAGGAAGATGCTGCCACCGTAGGCAAAGCCGGATGTGAGGATCAGATAAATCAAGAACCGACGGAAACGACCGGATTTGCGGGGAGCAGCTGCCGGAGGCGAGGGAGGAAGCTTGGATTCTGCAAAAATATCGCATTAGGACATGGGGGGCTAGGCCTCAATTGTAATTGATGAACGAGGGGGTCGTCATACCTTGTTCAGCGGCCTTCAAGATGGTCTCGGGAGGGACACTGGATTCGGAGGAAGGGGAGGCTGGTGTCGGACCACCGGTAGTAGGGGGCTTAGAATCGGCGAAGAATCGCTGCGCGTGGTGATTGTGAGTATGAACAGACAAGAAGCTTGGGATATGGTTCTCTTTACCTGACCTGCCAGCCGGTTGCTTGCACCAGCTCTGGACAGCCATTGCGACGGAATCCGTTGGCGGACAGGGTTTGACAGCAATTGCCGACCCGGAGCAATCGAGGAGCGCAGCATGACGAGCCGCACAATCGCCAAAATTAGTGGCTAAAGGTGATCAGAAAGATGGATGAGTAGGAAAACGGGAACTTGGTTGCTCAGTTGCGATCCGCCCCGATAATCCTGCGGGCGGTCAGAGTGGCATTGCGCACCATTTCATGTCCACTTCCGTACATACTGACATCAGAAATATGCATATCTAGCTGGGCTTTGGGTTCAGTGTATTCAAAGATAAAATAAAAGTCGGCCTATAAATATGGGAACATCCTTTCACGGATATTAGCCACTTGTTCAATGTTTGGGGGTCAGTTCTAAACATCAACCGAGGAATATATCGACACAAGTAACACACTCATACATCCGAAAACAAAGTAATAAGATATCTACCCCCTTTGACTGTACTCGGAATCAAGGTAGACAAAGTTGATGTGCCTATGTATATTGGTTTGCCTACGCCACTAACATATTGTAGGTCTCCACTGTACATACAGGCGAGGAAAATGTATTATTTGAGCATAACATACTAAGAATTCTGAGAGAGGCAAGGGTAACGGGAATATCAAGAATTCAGCCCAAGACATAGGACGAAAAAAAACAGCAGATGCAGACGCCAGGTGAGAAGGAACAAGGAGTACAGAAGGAACAGCACCATCAAAGCACCGACAGATCCAGCTGCAGCATGTCTAAAGCCAAATTCCATGTAGGTCCATGGAAGTTAAATCCTTCTGCCAACGGGGGACTTGTGAGGCCTCGTTTGAGCAGGCTGAGCAAGGACACAAGAAGCAAAAAGAAAAAAAATCCGAGAGGGTTAGATTGATCATGAACCGAGAGTCTATCCCTCGACTCCGTAGCGGGTAGGGAATGGTGCCAGGGTCCGATCAATGACATTGGCGAAATCATAGAAAGTCACAGAGTTATACCACCGTTGAACGATGCTGGGATGTGTAGCCTGGGCCTTCTCTCAAACGGTGGTTGAGACGAAGGCGCACTGGCTAAGGGGAATATGATCGGGTAATTGTTTAACAATTGCACGCACCAGCACCCTGGGTTCCAGGGGCCTCTGGTCGCAAGTCAACGCCGGGTCGAGGGGTCGCCCGCAAGTTCCGAGGACCGGCCTGATCCAGAGGTAGTTTCTTGGCGATGGCGGTAAATAGTTCCTTGACGTTCGTCGAGGACTTGGCGGAGGTTTCGAAGAAAAGCAGGCCCGCTTCACGTGCGTAGGCCTCGGCGTCAGCTTCTTGGATTGCTCGCTTGTCAGGGCTCTCTGTGACAAGATCAAGCTTGTTACCTGCCAGGGCGATCACAATGTTCTCATTCGCCTGGCGCTGGAGTTCCTTCACCCATGATTTGGCTTTGTCTAGCGACGACTATATGGTAGTTTGATGAATGTTAGCTTCTATACTGGCGATGAAGTTAAAGACATGATGCAGGACTGGACCTTACAGCTTGAGTGATGTCATAGACAACCACAGCGCAGTTGGCATTGCGATAGTACATGGGAGCCAACGACTTATACCGCTCCTGGCCAGCGGTATCCCAGATTTCGAACTTGACTGTGGTGGTATCATCGAGGGAGATGGTCTGTGTCAGGAAGGCGGCTCCGATTGTCGACTCGCGATAATCATCGAATTGGTCCTGAACCAAGAGATTAGCATTTTATTATTCCATGTACGTTCGGCTCGCCGCGGGAAGTAATGTTGCGATCGTCGAAGACTCACTTTAACGAATCTGAGGACTAGCGAACTCTGGAAGATAGCGGTCAAGTCAGCGGCTGATAAAGAAGATCGCAAGTGGTATCCCAAACCTTTCCGACAGCGGACTCTCCTATAAGCACAGCATGTCAGCCATAGATTCAAAGTGAAACAAAAACCCGAGCAACATCAAAACCTACCAAGAAGGACAAGCTTGAACTGAGCAAACCTTGCGCCCGGGCGGGCTCCTGCTGCTTGCCTGGAAGCCATGATCAGGAGAGAGGATGGAGGGTGTGGGAGCGTAGGAAGGAAGGTGAAAGGGTCGAGGAACTGAGATATATGATTCAAGGTCTTAAGACCGGCAGGAGAATAAAAAAAAAGTAAGATCCAAAGGGTATGGAGCACAAAGATCTAAAGATTCAAGACACTTCAAAGACCCTCGTAGTTTAAGGCAGACAGGAATAGATGACGGAAGGCCCAGCCACAGGAGCAGCGGGGCGGTGTGGCTGCGTACTGACCACAGTGGCCCGCTGTTACTTTGTACCTTCCCGTGTCTGTTTGGAGACTTGGGAAACTTGAATTTACTTATGCCTATTCCTTCTCATATTCTCTTGTAATCAACCCATTTCACTCATTTCACTCATTTCAGGAGGTCCTGTTTCCAAAAACTATGGTTCCTCCTATTCTCCCATTTCGGGATATCAACCTACACGCGTCACCCTCCCACTATGCCTTTACTTCACCATCATCACGCCAGGCACCCACTCTAGTAGTCGACCGACCAACTGGTGATTTACGCTTGAACGATGGCCCCCTTCCAGGTGCCAAGCGCATTTCCAGTATTGCTGGAATTCTTGGAATCCTGAAGTTGAAGCTCGGTAATTTCGCTCGCAAATAGAAACTCAGGAGGTTGCGCTGACGCTCACAGATAAATACATCATTGTTATCACCAAGGCCCAGCCCATGGGACGGTTGCGCGGCCATATGGTTTACAAAGTTGCCGGAACAGAATTCCTCCCCATGCGAGAACGGCCGCTACACGATACCGACGAAGATGCCTATCTTACAGTGGTAAAAGACCTGCTTCGAAGGGGACCCATGTACTTCTCCTACTCGCTCGATATCACCAATAATTTCCAGCGACAGTCACAAAATGCCCCTGATGTTCCGATGTGGAAGAGCGCAGATGACCGCTTCTTCTGGAATCGCTTCATTCAATCCGATCTGATCAACTTCAGCCTCGGAACAAACGACACAAGTGGAATTCGCTACGGTCCCCAACCAGGGGCTGACCCCTATATCTTGCCAGTAATGTTTGGCATGATGCGCATTACTCCTGCCCGAGTGAAGTCAACATCCTTCACCTTCGCGCTTATCACCCGGCGATCTAGACACCGTGCTGGAACCAGATACTTCTCTCGCGGAATCGACGAGCAAGGCAATGTTTCAAACTACAACGAGACCGAACAGATTGTGATCTTGAATGACTCAACGGGCGGACTATCTGGGTTTGGCGGAGGTCAATCAATGACCAGTGGCAAAGCTGGACAGGACCTTCAAGTCTACTCTTTTGTTCAAACTCGAGGTAGTGTCCCCGTGTTTTGGGCTGAAGTTAACGATCTCAAATACACCCCGAAGCTTCAGGTCCGTGAAGTCGAGACTTCCGTCGAAGCTGCGCGGAAGCATTTCGCCGAACAGATCCGCATCTATGGAGAAAATTACATGGTCAATCTCGTGAACCAGAAGGGCAGGGAGGAGAATGTCAAGCGCGCATACGAGCAGCTGGTTCGCACATTAGTCACGTCCACATCTGAAAGTACCGAGGCTGATGAGCGCACCCCTGAAAAGATGCATGTTTTGGAACCAGGGTTCAAGCAGAAAGAGATGGACCGCCTGCATTATGTGTACTTTGATTTCCATAACGAGACTAAGGGCCTCAAGTGGCATCGCGCAGAGTTGCTCATGGGCCGCCTGAACGATGGGCTGACCCAGGGTAGTTATTTCCGCGGAGTGGAGAGTCCCGGTGCCCCTGGTGGACAGTTGGATACTCGTTCTACGCAGACGAGTGTTGTCCGAACAAACTGTATGGATTGCCTGGACCGCACTAATGTAGTGCAGAGCATGCTCGGCCGCTGGGCGGTTACACGACAGCTTATGGATGCAGGCGTTCTACGTCCTGGGGAAACTGCGAACGATGACCAGGAGTTTGAAAACCTATTCCGAAATATATGGGCAGACAATGCAGATGTTGTCTCCAAGTCTTATTCCGGTACTGGTGCCCTGAAGACTGATTTCACTCGGACTGGCAAACGTACACGGGCGGGCATGCTGCAAGACTTGAACAACTCCATCACGCGATATGTACGCAACAATTTTATGGACGGCCCTCGACAAGATGGATTCGATGTATTTTTGGGCACTTATCTCCCATCAGACTCAACATTCGCGAATATCCAGCTATTCCTTGACCAACGACCACTTGTCATCCAGTCAGTTCCATATGTTCTCGCTGCTAGTGTGTTCATGGTTTTGGTGGCGATTTTCACACGGCGATTGCCCGATGCCGCTGTCTGGCCGCTTCGCTTGTTCACGATCTTCTGGTTGTTGGTGGCGGTCTACTGTTTCCGTTTCATGCATGGACACGGCATGCTCTATGTAAGTTCATTACCATCTTGACAAACCCGAAGTATATCCCACTGACCCTGTTTTCTATAGGTGAATTGGCCCAAGCTAAATCCCCCGGTCGCTGGCGCTGAGGGATATCAGGATGCTCTCATCAAAGCACGCTCTGATCCCATCATCGGTAATTGGCTCCCTGCCAGACGACACCAGCGTGGTATTAGCAATGCCCGTCTCGTCTTTTTGGAAGAGGGCAAGACTAGGATTGAGTAAATGTCTCACTCCGGCGTTTTTCGGTTATTTCTTTTACCCTTTGTTCTCATCTTCTGTATACTCCATGGCTGTATGTTTTATTACCATTCTTTCCACCACTACAGGCCCGCTGGCATTTTCCTTTCTGTTCCTTTCCCCCTCAATTCAATTCTAATCATCTTTCCCCTTTGTTTGATACACTGTTTCTTTGCTCGGAACCACGAGGGTTTCCAGCTGTATGCGGCTGCTATTGCTTTCAAATCGGTCCCCATCGTCCTTGTTGCTCGGATTCTCTCTCGCAGTTCCCTTAGCCAATACATGAACACTTTAGAAGACCTACATCCATATTCCAACTTATTATTGAATGTGTTCCAAATCCTTCTATAGGTAGATTTGTTAAACACATCATCTTTCCGAGGTTCTACACATACACCTTATCTTGCGACTCAGATAAAATATCATTAAATGCATGCCTAGATATTAAATCAGACGCGAGCACTTTTTATACTTTCACTTCCTCCTACCCCATCTTCAGGGCTATAACAACAAGTGTCTATCTAACGATCCTTAGATAACACATCGTACGATACCTTTGGAGAGGTCAATAGAAAGGTCAATAGAGGTACCCTTCGGCACAACCTTCTTTTTCATAACCGCAGCTTTCCGTTGCTCCAGTATGACTTGACGAGCCGTCTGCATACCGCTCTGGACGGCGCCATCAATCCAACCACACCAGCCATCCGACCAGTCCGCGCTGGCGAAGAAGACGTTGCCATGTGGTCTTTGTAGGACAGAGAGATATTTCGTCGTGGCGTTCGGTGGAGGGAAAGACCATGTACCATTTGCGAACTCGTCCTTGTTCCAATCATGAGACACCTGGGCAACAAAGTTAGTATATTATTGAGACCATTGAAAGAATGCAAAAGAGAAAAGAGTTTGATCAGTTTTGGGAGAGAGTATTCACTTACAATACGGTTAATGACAGCCTCGCCTTGCTTATTCTCGGGCAGGAGGTGGACAACGGCATCTTTCACAGTATCAAGATTGTCGAGCGTCATTCCAGCAGAGCATTCCGGGTCAGGACCAAAGCATACTAGATGAGTGTCCTTTACGGGGGTGAGATGATCTCCAAATGCGGAGATCAATCCCTTCCCGGGTGTTGCCATCGATCCCCACGACAGGTATTCTGGCCCATTAATATCGACGTGGACCTTGTTGCACCTGTTGACCGACTGCTGCTGCAAAGCTGCCACCTTATCCGCAGGAAGTCGGGGACTGAACTCGACCGAGGCCAAGACGTTGAGCGGCACCGTGCAAATAACGGACCTGGCCTTCCACGCCTTCCCATCTCTAGTCGTCACAGTGACAATGTCTCCAGCATCCTCGATCCGCTGAACTGGGGCACTGAACCCATAGGACAGGTTGTCGGTAGACAAGGCGTGCTCGAAGATACGGCGGTGCAGTTCGCTGTTCCCGCTTCGCAGTCGAGTATGGAGGGCGATGTCATTCAAGCCCGTCGGTGTGTGGCTGCCCAGAACCCACCAACGGAGTACGCCAAGGAGTCCGATCTTGTCCAAGGTGTTTCCACCCATCTGCATCAGTTGGGCTTGCAAAATGCTCACCTCTTCAGCGGACAGCTGGTCGCGGATCTGGTCTAGCCGGTCCTGGCACGAAAGCTTGTCCCACTTGGAAATGAGTTCGGGCGACTGGTTGGTGCCGAATGCGTATTTCCATGTCTGTCGGAGATCGTCTCCGTCGACGTTGCAGAAGCTGCGGAGGACTCTACCGCAAATGTCGGCCTGTCGTATTGTATATAGGTAAGCTTTGACTTTTTCTTCATGCAGGATTAGGTATATAATGTTTGTGTACATACCTCCTCTTCGTGCGAGAGATTGCGCTGCTCACTGCCCGTCATGGCAGTGAAGTAGTCTTCCTTTCCACCGGGGTTTTGGGTGACGATCCAGTCATTGTGCAGGCCGTACAGAGAAACCTCATGGTAGATATGGGGCATGTGCCAATGGATCCAAGTGCCACCCATCTCGTAGTTGAATCCATCGATGGTTGCGTGCCATGTGCGGCCTCCGAGTCTGTCTCGAGCTTCCAAGAGAAGTGTTGTCTTTCCTGGAAAGTACTGTTAGCCATGACCGTCTGGTGTTGGGCAAAGGATGGAATTGCCTGTATTCCAAAGCTTACCTTGGGTGGCCAGGTCTCGAGAGGCGACCAGACCAGCATACCCGGCTCCGATGACAATCACATCGTGGACGTCGTCTTCCGGCTGAATAGAGTGTGACGAGGGATTAACAACGCCAATTGTGGGAAGCCCTTCCTGGCGGCCAGTGGAAGGAGTCCAGGAGAAGCCATCGGAAGAGTAGACCATGTTGTATTGTCTTGACTTGTAATGTTCAGGTATGAATCAATATCCACGAATTGATGGTCCCATGGGCGGCAGACTCGACAGCTTATGTCTTTCTTCCATTTTCCCGATCCTGACCAACCAAGCATGCCCTAAAGGAGAAAACACAGCAAATGTATCAGTCCACTAGACCATGACAATATCCCCCATCCAAGCATTCGATGTTGATTCGCTGGAACACGGGGTAGGTGGTTCAGTGGGTCCCAGGATTAACTTGGATATTGGGGGGCTTCCAAGACGGAAAAATACGACCAATCAGAAGACATTCTTTTCTCGCGATAGGACAACCTTGGAATCTTTCCAAAGTTGGCAACTCCCGAGGTTATCCAGTGCTGTTCGCTTGCCCACTTGAACATTTTCTTAATCTGCCCCCCGAAAACCCAAAATAGCCGGGGCTCTCGTGAGGGGCCGTGAGGGGTGCAGTACTCTAACCCGACAGGCTCAATTTTATGTTTCATCAATTCGTCTTGGAAATGACCAAGGGTTGAATTTCAAAAGGAATGTTGGCTTTTCCTGGGCTCAATGTCTCAAGCCAATTCTGCTATTCATGGACCATATAGAAGAAAGGTGACTTTAGCTTGTGGTTCTTGCCGCAAGCGAAGGGTGAGTGGCTAGTTTCAGGGGCCTTTCTCACACATACTGGCAGTTGATGCTAACGTAGCTGTTAAAACCTCAAGGTCAAATGTAGCGGTAGCCAACCATGTACGCTATGCTCTGAGAGTGGGCGACAATGCGAATTCGATAGCAAGAACAGAGCGCGACGTGGCCCCAGACCCCGACGAACTGGGCAATCTCAAAGAATTATTCATCAATTGGCTGCTCGAATCCCGTCCAGTGAGCAAGTGACTGTCTCTTCACTGCCTCGGATTGCAACCGACCTGGTATCCGAAGAGATGCAGGATGCGGAAGAGATTGAGCGATGTATCACGGACGACGACGGTGATGACGAAGATGACGATGATGAGGACGATAACGATGAATTTGTGCCAGATCCATCTGTATGGAAACCTGGCTTGGAAGACTTGATTTACAGTAATGACACCATTTCGAAAATGTGTGTTAACCCTCCGAGTATTCATCTTCTACTGATGCTGATATAAAATCTCCACAGCTTGCCAACGCTGGATATAGATCTTATGTGCCATCTCATACATATATTTTGCACTCGGGCAAACGCACAGCTGAGATCGTTGCTAACACCGGCCCAAATACAACATCATCTATCCCAAGGTACCATGTCTCGGGCCTTAGTGCTAGCGGTATGCGCTTCAAGCATCCGCTTCACTGTGCACAAAGCCGCGCGTGGACCGCACGCTCGCGGACTTGCCGAATCAATGGAACGAGAAGCACGAAATTGCATTCAAGCCTCCACTGTTACCTGGCAACAAGTAAACAACGTCAAGACTATATGTGTTTTAATTGACTATGAAGCCAGTAGGGCTCACGGTCGGCAAGCGTGGATAGATATTGGTAAGCCTAGCCAGACACCTGGGCAGTTTCCACATCTCCACTATGTAGACGGGAATGTTGACATCCACAGCAATGGGTCGCAGCCTAGTGCAGCTAGCCAGATCAGACAGCGAACTTGACGCGGAACAAATTCAAGTGTTAAGCGTCGCAGAGCGGTATCTCGCCATTGCACAGGCATCTCATTGCCTGGGCCATCGCCATCTCCAACCTTCAAGCAGCCGACCAGCCAAAAGACCGAGGTTGGAATGTGCACCATGCCCCGAAGATTGCCCACATCTAGTAGAATTACTTGAACTTCTTTCTTGCATCAATCAACTGTGTCTTACCCCATTCAAGGAGCAGAATCCACCACCCTGGACCTTGAATTCAGAATTTCGAGCGCTACAGGATGATCTGGAAGAATATCTCCTCCGCCACCCTAGCACGTTCCGCTTCGGCTCCAATTCTCCTTCGGGGCGACCTTCGAGGCTGGAGGATCTGGACGCATCTATTTCTTCTATGGTCTGGCATTGCTGTGTTATCGTCCTTAACCGTACCTTCCTTCCGATACCGGAAAGACGACCCCAGTCAGCGGAAGATGGCGGGCAAGACCTGCCGATTCGCTGTGTTGAGTTCCCCGAAGCACCACCTTTATTTTTGAAGGAGAGGATTTACCGATGTGAGTCTAGTGCAGACGCAATATGCGACATTTCGCAAGATGTTATCAGAAATGGAGGGTTCTATTCTGTAAGTTGTGCCTATCCATTTCTCGATTGACGGATTATGTGCTAACGGATTCTGAAATTTGGTACAATCAGCATGCGCTATTCGTCGGGTTTGCCTGCACGCAGAGTGCACTAGTATCTATCAATCGGCTCCACCGGTCACCGAGGCCATACGATAATCGGATTCTGGAGAACCTGAAACTTGCCTTTATTGTACTGGGGGCGCTCAAAACATTCTATGCCCCAGCGAAAGAGTGGGTATGTTTTACTCTATCTAAACAGAACAGCTCCTACTTTGCACACCCTGCTGACAACAGCGAACTTGCCTTTATCGCGATTACAGATGGATGTTCTCTTTCGTGCCCACGATACAAATACTAGACTCAGACATGCATCTGAGACAATTGACCAGTCATTCAACAGCTACTTCAGTCGGTTTCTCGATCTTGAGGAGCCCACATTCATGCCACTAGATCCCAAGAATAGCGAAAATATATCCGGAGATACCGAGGGGGACGACGATCCGGAGCCGATTCGACAATTGCAGGATGAAAACCCCACTGGAAGTCAAGAACAACCAGAGTCCGGAGAAAAGGCACCGGAATGGCTCCAAGCGTATGCAGGCCATCTGTCAGCAGATATAGACACAGATGATGAACAGAACCCCGACGAAAGTCCACACAACTCAGGCGTATATATTGATCCATCGCTACAAGCGATGGGAACCATCACCCAGATGATCCCAGGCCCCGCTTTCCATGACGGACAAGGCCAGGGGTTCATTGGAATGGAACCAGGTGACTCAGAAGTGTCGCCAATTCATATGGCTGGCGCAATCCTCACGTCTATGTCAGGTGGAACACCGAACTTCCCCCTGCCAGCACAAAACCAACAACTCCAATCACATGGGGAATCTCATCTGGAGTACGACCGATGCCCCATGACTAGGGATGCTAATGATTTATTTCCGGGGCTCTTCAGTCAGATGTCCACGTTTGCTGAATTCGCGGGACTTGGTCCCGAGATGTCTATCTTTCCGGGACTGGAATCTGTTGTTGGTGAGTCGGACATATGGTCAGATATATTTAACAATAATATGTTCAAGTGATGATCTATTTTCTATCTCTTGCTGTTGATAGTAGTTTGGCTAGCCTGGTGAGATATTTAAAAAATGGAAGTAATACTCCGGGAGGGACTTCAACTTGTGCTGGTCTTGAATGTTCATCGGGCCATGTTGGTCCCGTGGATATATGCCTACCCCAGATTCCCCGCATGGAACTATGTATACACCATCTACGATATACAATAGGCAAAGCAACGATGATTTCAAATACTGATCAAATAGGATAAAATGCTTGATATCTGATATGCAAAATAGTATAAACAGGGTCACTAGGACTAATCGGTCATGGCGTTCTTTTTTTGGAGTCCAGGCGGGGAATGTGTCAAATCTAATGATAAGCCAAGTTTCAATGTCTTCCGTCCACGGGGGTATTCCGCTGCGCCCACCTTCTCTCCCAGAATCTTGTTTCTCCTCTCTACAGCACATTAGGATTGATATCTCATATTTGATGTCGCAAGCAATGGAGCGCAATCTACCCCAGGCGGAGCGACAGAATGATAGCGGCATGTGTTGGACATGTCTAGATAAGAACAGACAATGTGATGGGGGTCTACCTCGTACGTTTCCGTGCCCTAATTACTCAGTTGGGATGATCATACGATCGAATCCATCAGGGCTTGAATGTTGACGGCTTCCCTAGGCTGTAGGATCTGCACACAAAGGGGCGTGAAATGTCGCGGATATGGAGTCCGGCTCCAGTGGCCATCGGGGGTTGCAGGCATCTCAAAACAACAGAAGATAGCAAGGAGGCGCCTAATCAGATCTTTATCGACCTCGGACTCGCCCGAAGTGGCCTTTCCGGGGGCCATATCGGCTCTAGCGCTACCGGCAGAGGACAGCTTCTTCATGCAACATTACCTTCGTATGTAATCCAGGCAAGCTACCTAGCTATAACTTACCCCCTTCATCCGACGATCCTGTGCTCGTTTACTCATAAATATTTCACCAATTAGAGAATATCGCCAGGATAGCCCTCGCCATCGATTACAACGGAAATGGATATCGCTCCCTGCTGCCTATGGCTGTAAAAGAGCCTGCGGTGTTAAACGCAGCGCTCGCAGTCGCCGCCTCACACCACAGCCGCTGGCAGCGCAAGCCCGACACAGTGTCTCGAAAGTACCTCCGTGCCGCCTCCAAAGCACTCCGAGAGAGGTTCATGTCCCCGAACAGTATCCATGATCCCGTTACATTGGCCTCAATGTTGCTGCTAGTTTCTTTCGAGGTACATTTATATTGTTTTACCTTTATATTATTTCCCCCCAATTTTTACGCATTTTACTAAGTCGCCTGATTATTAGGTATTCTCAGGCTCGAGTCGGTGGAAAGGAAATTACGATGCCATCCGTGGCTGGATCCGATCTCGGGGTGACTGCTCCGACATCGAACCATTTTTGAAAACATGGGTTTGTCTGATCGACACCCAGACTGCTCTCAATCTCGGCCAACCGGCGATGCCAGAGTTAGAGTCCTGGCTAGATGTGACGGCAGAACCGGCGAGTCAAGGAGAATTCGTTGATGCTCTCTTTGGCTGTTCAGCCAGGTTACCGAAGCTTATGGTCAGTCAGTTCACATAGCTATGCTTTTATCTCCCCATCATTAATAATTTTCTCTCTGGGAAGTATAAAAGATAAGCTGACCTTATTCGTATTTCAGTGGGCTGCTTCTCGACTATACGCAGCTTCGAAAGACAACCAGACTACCATGCATGAATTACAGAGCCAAGTAGATGCTCTACAAGCCCAGATCCGCTCGACAGCCATAATCCTTGATTCAAGCCCTCTAGTAAACATCTCATGTCGGAGAACCGCGCAACCCTTCGCGACTGTGGGGATGGGACAGGAGGAGTTGCGCCGGAGGATGGTCGCGACAGCAGAGATATTCCGACACTCCTCGCATATATATGTGCACCGTATTCTTCACGGGCCCGAGGAGCCCCTCACAGAGGAAATGCAGACATCCCTCAACACCGCGCAGGAGCTACTGACCATGGTCCCTGATGCGCTTGGCCCTGGTGCGAACCTCGGTTGGTGTTTGGTTGTCATCGGAGCTGAGATGGACGGCGTTCATGAGAGAAACTACGTCCAGTCTCGACTGGATGGTTTGCACCTGCTGGGCATACATAATACGAAGAATGGTCAGAAGATCCTCGATGAGGTCTGGGCTCATCGAGACCTTGTTACTAGTGGACAGGCAATGCCGGAGAGATGGCAGGATACGATGCAACGAATTGGACAGTCGCAAATCCTGGTCTGAAGATTTTACGCGTTCGATATTGAATTTTGCTTGGGAACGTCATATTCCACCAAGGAGTGGAAATTTCGATGTGGAACTAGGTTTGCTTGCTATCATATCTTTCACGCCATCTTCGCCAACACTCCTCGACTCACAACGGCACCCACTACTCTGAGGAAGTGGACCGAATTTCCCAACAGGGAATACATGCTCGGATATCTGGATCCCTTCCAGCTCAACACCCGGTTGCCAGCGTGCCTTTCCTAGATGGATGCTAGCATTTTCTCGCCCTGATTGCAGTCGAAGGTTGGAGTCCTGGGTTAGAAGAAGGAAAATTACCTGACACACACTGCCCTATCAGTGGCTGCGAAGGACCAGTGCGAATACTCGCATGCCGTTATGGACGGTGTTGACGATACCCTGCCCCTGCGTCCAGAACCCAGCCATGGATGACTGGAAGCTGCAGTTGGTTTGAGTTGAAATTTGGGGGTGTAGTCTTTGAGCTACGGGGAGTAACATGTCTCATGTCTCCTGCTCAGAACAGGCAAAGCTTAGTGCCTACATACCTCGGCTTTTGTCGAGGGAGTGCCCAGGTGTTCCGTTGGCTCAAGGGGAGGCGAAGGAAATTGCTTACTATATACGTTGGCAGCTGTTAACCAGATCAATCTCCTTTACTTGCCGTGAAAATGGTGCAATTTATACAGCTGATATTTTGTGAAATATGTCTCAATTGTGTTATTGAAGAAGGGTTGTTGTCTTTAGTTTCGCCTTCAAGTTTGCCTCGGACTTTTGCTACCAAGGGTTCCGTTTTAAATAATTACGATCTACAGCTCTTGTGGAATTTTCTCCTGTATTAGTTCTTGTGCTCTAACTAAGAGTCAGTGTGTTTACTGAAAACCCGCCTTCTACAAGCAACGAAATCATTCAAGATCAAACATTCCCATTCATCCTTAACCCTATGGTCTCAACTGTATAGGCTGGTATATCCCCAAATTGCCAACTCGCAAGCCCCGAGTACAATGACATTTATTCCTTGCATAGTATACTATCTTTGAGCGGCTCAATTCTCGTGACTTCCCTACCTAGACATTATGGCTACAACAGGCTAGCCGAGGGCGGACTATTGCCCACTCAGTAGAGGCGGTTGGCCAGTTAAAGATAAATCCACCGAATCAAATTCAACATATTAGCCCTGAAGATATGCCGATGCTCAAAGATGGGGGTTTCTCCATGTCCAATAGGAAGATCTTCCTTCATTTTCTGATTATACCCCGCAATATCTATGCTGATATTTGCAGGGATTTCTATAAAACCCCACAAACGGAAATCCTATTTATCTGATTGGAAGAGTATGTCTACTAGAACGAAGTTGCATATCTTTCTAAGTAGTTCCTAAAGCACCGTTAACACCCTTGTCATTGTGTGTGTGCTCTTGATTTTCTTGTTAGAAACAATGCTCACATCCAAAGAAACCCCCTCATTTCTGGGAATTGCCACTCAGTACTGGCTAATTGTCTTCGCTGGTATCCTGATATCATGGGCATTGTCCAAAAGATATCTAACACCGCTGAGACACATCCCCGGCCCGTTCTTCGCATCATGGACTCGTCTCCCCCGGTTCTTTGCAGTGTTGGTAGGGCGACCTCATGAATGGGAACTAAACCTGCATCGCAAGTACGGTCATGTTGTGCGGACAGGACCGGACCTTGTATCAGTGGGAGATCCGGCGGCAATTAACGTGATCTATAACGCATCTGATAAGTTCAAGAAGGTAAGAAATCAACGAACGGATGTAATATGTTTTTATTGCTGCAATACCTAATTGATGTTTAGTCGGCATTCTATATCCCTTTCAGGGTCTATGACAATGAAGGATTGCTTCCAGATCCATTGGTTTTGACAGACAAGGCACTCCATACCCGCATGAAGAAAAACGCATATAATGCATACTCTATGGGCTCAATGTTACAACTGGAGCCTCTTGTCGATGCAGTCACGGATCGTTTCTTCAAAATACTTGACGATGTGGTCGAAACTCCGAGTCGGACGTGTGACTTGGGAAAGTGGTTGCGATATTATGCAACCGATGTCATCTTCGCTGTCACATTTGGCGAGGACCTTCAATTTATGGAAAAGGGAGATCCTATTGGGATGATGCCAATGCTTGAATATATTGCCGGAGACTATGTGTCAATTGTAAAGCAGACCCCTCCCCAATATGATTACCTTAATATTCTACAAATGCATCTACTAACACACTTCATCAGGTTGGTCAATTTCCATGGGTTCACAAATTCCTGCTTGGTAATAGATTCGTTTCCAAACTAGTCCTTGGAAATAATGGACCGGACGGCGCTACTTTAGACCTGGCACAAAAGCAGGTCATGAAATTCCGCGAGAAAATGGTAGCGCAGTTAGTGACGGGTCCTTGCTCATTTGTACAGCGACTACTGGAGCACCAGGTAGCCCATCCAGACTCCATCACAGATCGGGAAATTAACACCCATGCATTTGGAAATGTCACTGCAGGAGCAGACACCACTGCAATTGCCATGCGGACGATCATGTTCAACGTGATAAAGCATCCCGAGATTTACGACACCCTGTGTCGTGAGATTTGCGAGGCGAGATTGACCCTTCCAATCACATACGCCAGTGCCAGCACCCTCCCATATCTAGACGCAGTCATCAAAGAAGCACTGCGCATCCACCCGCCAACCGGTATCATGTACGGCCGAACCGTGCCGCCGGAGGGTGCTACTGTATGTGGGAAGTTTATTCCCGCGGGCACGGAAGTGGGGATTAGCCCTTGGGTACTGCATTACGACCCCGAGTTATTCCCAGACCCTGAGAAGTTCCAGCCGGAGCGTTGGTTGACTGCAGACGCAGATTTGCTGGCGCAGAGGAAGAGGTCTATCTTTGCTTTCAGTGCTGGTTCGCATACCTGCCTTGGGAAGCATATTAGTTTGATGGAAATTACGAAATTGGTTGCGTCGCTGCTGATGCAGTATGATATTGCATTAGTGGATCCGAATGCGAAGCTGTCGTTTAAGTGTCGTTGGTTTACACCCCAGAAAGGATTGGTGGTGAAATTGGCGAAACGGCACCTTTGAAGTGGAAATATCTATGGAATTTATTCTGTTGCTAATGGTAATTTAAATAATAATGGCCACAGCCATGCTACCATTGCTATTTCTCTTTCGGGGCTATTTTATTTGTCAAACGTTTAAATCCTTCTGAATTTGACAGTAGGCCTTCGAACTGAAATAATTTCTGAAAACATAGTATAGCCTCCCTAACTCATATATTTGGTCTTAACCTTCGCTCCCTGCGTAAACATGCTTTCTCCTTGTCAAAAGCTCCCCATTGTGTCTGTCAGGTATGGTACTACACTCGATAAGATATATGTTTATGAAGAGGTAGTGAAATCGACCAAGTTACTGGCACAAAGCCTTTGAGTAGATGTAATATGCAATGGTCTACATAAATGTAGTATTTCAGAAATGATTTTAAAAAGTAACAGTTTGTATACGGTGTCCATTTCTAGACACCAGTTGCCAACATTGTCTCGTGATATCACAACTAACTCATGACTGAACTCGAACGACATTAGAAGGTACCAGCTCATCTATCTTTTCTTCCGGGACTCTCTTCTCCAGCAACATCGCATCGTAATTTCCTCCAGCAGGTAGCGCCAGCTGTTCGATAGTACCGGGTTTCCCACTTCTAACATCTTGCAGCAAATGATCGAAGTGCTCCTCCGCATTGGCGAAAACATCGAAATCGGTAACCCAGGGATAGAAAGGAATGATCAAAGAATCAGGGTATTCGCGTACCAGGTCAGGCGTCCAGTCATTCTTGTGATAAATATTACGCGTCAAGATAGACGCCTGGTGAATTACATGCGACCGGTTGAATCGGATCCGCTCAAACACCTGCAGGCCCGCCGCCACATCGCCGTTGCACTTTTGCAGACAGATTGCAGCTGTAACGGCATCCTCGACGGCTTGGCAGGCTCCCTGGGCGGAGGTTGGGAGATGGCAATGCGCTGCATCGCCCATTACTGCACATTTCTTAGAACTGGATAGCCATGTCGGGATGGCGTCCCGCCAGACGAGCTTATAGTCGATAATCCGGTCAGCTGGTGTAGCCTCGAGGGCTTGGTCCCAGATTTTAGGGAAGCCGGCGTCTTTGAGATATTTGGAAACGTCCTCTTTCTTTCCTGGGAAGGACCATGTTTCGGCAATGTTTGCATCATCGAGATGGGTTAGTACCCAGGCACAATCTCTAGAACTTTCAGTCAGAATGTGATCTGATAAATCGGGTTACCGGGAAAGAATATGTACCTTCCATTCTTCCACGTATAGATAAATCCATGCATATCCCGACCAACCCAGAACCGAACGCTGTCCTCACCCTCCTTGATCATCTCAGAGAACTCAGGAAGCTGGCGCATCTCATCAGTAATATTGAAGAACGCCCTGAAGATTGCATATCCACTATTAACCGTGGACTCAGGCAAATGGAGAAGCTGAGAGCGGGCTAAGGACCGGGGACCATCACAGGCCAAGACGACATCACCGAGGATCTTCTCGCCTCCCTCCACCAAAACACCCCTCTCAGCATCCGAGTCAAGATACCGCTCAACACGCTTGCTAAACTGCATATCAACGCCAACCTCAATAGCGTACTCATAGACAATCCTATGCATCTCTCCACGGTGCCCGGCATAGACACAGTCCTTGTCCGACGCCTGCGGCCAGGGATCCCTCCGCAGCAGCACATTGTCGGCGTTGTAAAACTCGAGATACTTGGCAGCATTGACTCCGGCTGCCATAAGTCTGCGGCCGACATTGCCGTTATCCCAGGATTCGAAGACCCGGCCAGCGTTGCGCACAAAGTCGAGTAAATCGCCGTGCGAGCTGGCGCCTGGGTATGCCTCGACCAGGATCGGGTGCATGCCCCGTAGCTTGCACTCAATGGCTGCGGTTAGGCCGGCAAAGCCGCCGCCCACGATCACGACGCGGAGGTCTTTGCTGGTTGATTTGACCATGTTTGCGTGGTGGGAGCTTGATGGATTCGGATATTTGAATGATTTCGAAGATGGATTTTGACACAGTCCAATTGATCAACGAAATCCATTCTATATGAATCCCTCACTGGACTTCACACTCCATCCTTCCTGTTTGGGGTGCAGTATCTGGTGGAAAATAGCTTCAATGGCCCAATCAGGAGATATTCCGTATGTCGCTTTTTATCTCCGTTATTTTGAGCGGGGTAATAGATTGACCCCAATTTCGCATCCTTTCATTCTATTTGCTACTACACGAGGTAAATGATATTAGGCCGGATCAATATTCGATTGTATAATGTTTCCAAAGTTGTGAATAAACTTATGCCACCCGAGATACGAACGCTATCTTTGGTTTCTCATTCAGCTCTGTTGACTGGCCACCGCTGCGTCAGATTAATCCTCCCATGTCGATCCATGTGTTAACACGCAGCATAATTATCCACCAAGTTGGAAAGAAACGGGGTTCAGAGCAGGAATAGGCATTGGTCTATTGTTTTATGCTGAGGGTGTTGGTTTTGAAGGTACCCACCATTAGGAACCCGGTGGTAGTCTAAGTCTTGAAGATCCCGAGGTCTTTTCTCTTCCGAAATGATGTAGCTACATGATGCAGTTGATACAGGTTTGTGGTATTACCAAAGTATCACTCGAATTCATTCCATTGACTAACCCTATATACCCAAAGAGCTATCTCCCCCTTTCTTCTCATCTTCAATATGCTGATCCACCACTATCTCCTCGGGTTGAATAAGGCTAACTTCCTCGGATAAAACTCCGAGATAAAGCCGACTACCATATACCCACCAAGTCCCAGCGGCGACCAACATACTTGCCCCAAAGATAAGAGGTGCATAGTTCATATTTTCCGGCGTGACAGGAACGACAGAGGGGAAGCAAAGGAAGATGATAAGGTAAATACACCAGCACGCGGCAAAGACATTAATCGGCATGCTCCAAGCACCAAGTGTGAAAGGACCGGGCTGCAAATTTGTGTGCTCAAAGCCGTAGATAATCCGGAGGAAGATGGGCAACGCGTACGAGAAAATCATCACCACAGTCACACCGGACGCAATTCCGTAAAAGGCGGTCTCGTTGCCAATGTAAATAAGCGCTAGACCGGATATCCCGGCCCATGACAGCAGCAATGCGTTGGCGGGAACCTCAAGTCGGCCGTGGACACGCGAAAAGCAGTCCGGGAGACCACCTTCTCGCGCGAATGACCAGATGACGCGGGATGATGCTGCCATGCACCCTGGACCGCCGATGAAGAAGCCCAGGAAGAGGAAGAACCAGGTGATTCCAAGAGTCATGGATTGACTGCCGCCTGAAACGTTGTATACGAGCTGCACTAGCGGGCAGATTCTTCCCACCGGCCCATTCAGCACAGCCTCGATATCTGTCATGCAGAAGGCTAGGGCGATTACCCAAGGGAAGGTAAGGATACCGGAGAGGGCAACGCAGCCATAGACTGACGGAGAGAGTTAATGCCAAATCTTATAACTTATCGTAATGGGTTGAACTTACGGACTCGTGGAAGATCCCTTGACGCATTCTGCATCTCCTCCGCCATATGCGTGGCCGAGTCCCAGTTAATAAATGCCACCGCAGAGCTCATCAGACCGATTGACCACGAGACCCCGTCGCTTTTCCACCCGCTCAGATTAGTTAGGTCAGCGAAGACATAAGTGGCCGTATTCTTCGGGTGCACCTTCACCAAGAGGTACACGATGATGGTGACATATCCAGAAATGTGCAGCATGATACCCAGGAAAGTCAATCGATGCAGCCAGCGAGTACCCATGACATTAAGCCCAAAAAAGCAGGTAGTCATAGCGATGACAATCAAGCTTGTGTGCCATCGCTGATATTCGTAGTTCGGAGCGAACAATATAATGTACGCCTGCAGCTGCAAGGCGTTAGAGAATGTACCCGTCAGGGCAGAAAGAAGCCAACTCCAGATAGTGGCCCAGCCGGCGATCCATGAAAAGAGCCGTCTGTATTTGAGTGGAGAAAGGGCAGCCACGTAGTGGTATTGTCCTCCGGCTGTCGGAACCATGCTGGAGAACTCGCTGAGAGATAGGGCGATAGCCATGGCTCCGATAGCTGCCGCGGCGAACCCCCACACAAGGCTGGAACTGCCACCCGCCCGAAGGGATTGGGCCATGGTGGAAGTGAGGGCTTCCCAGGTGACGCTGGTACAGAAGGCGAGGAAGATCAAGGACCAGACGTTGAAGTGGCGGCCCATGGCTTGCTCCTGGCCCAGAGCTGCCAGGCGGGCCTCATCATCGCTTTGCGGCCTCTCGACTTTGAGAGGGGCCTCGTTCATTGCGACTAGAATTTTCTAGTATTTTCGGAAATAAAGTAGAAGAAGCAACAAAGTGTGTACTTGAAGATTGAGGTGGAAGAATCAATGTTGGGAAGGATGTCCTTCACATAAAAGAGCAAATCGAAGGATTAGATATCCATAATGGGTTATGGGGCTAATAACTAAAACGTTATCAATGGAGATCATTGGTGTCCATGCAAAGTTTATGTGGCTATCACAGAAGCTTCGAGGCCACAGGTATCACCGATCCAATCAGAAGAATATCCAGCAGCGAGGATTTGCGCTAAAAGATAGCATCTATGCGGGGAACCCTGGGGAAGTGGCAGGGAAGTGGAACTAGAATCGTGTGGATTGGACCGGATTAATATACAATTATCTTAGCCTCGGCTTTAGCAGTGGACTTAGTTCCTAATAGGTTATGCAGAGATAGGGGACTATGCAGAATATGAACCACAAGTTATGGATATAATATGCAGCGTCACTAAAGTAAAATAAGCGAATGATAAACATCCAGAATGCAGTTGCCTGGGAATTAAATTAAATTCGAAAAGATAGTTAATTCCTGCGAGACTACCCTTGCCTATCAGCCCTAAAACACCCTAATCTATCAACTTTCATCTAAAGATCACCGCAGATAATCAACGGTGGAATTTCTCATTCGCGAGTCAGCATGAATGCTGTACTGATAAGCCATATTTCAAATGTGCCAAAATGCAGATGTATCTCAGTCTCATATTCTTATGTCTACTCGTGTCGTCAAAGTTAGTATCTTGTGACCCCACAGGCTGGAGTAGAATGGCGTCAAGTAGCTGAGTTGAGGATCAATAAACCATTGGTTACACTAGTCTCCAGAAGCTTGCTCCATTGACTGTCTAGGGGTCTAGGGGCGCAATATAAAAACATCAGCCGGCTCTATTGTTGCTGAAGAAATATTTATAGCTATACGCCTTTTGATCTTCACATTATTTCAATCACGTATTATCTCTCCGCCACATTCTCCGTGCATTCCTCTCATCATGGTTTTCGAGTGGCTAGATGAGGGCAAGTTCCACCGCGTTCCCAAATTGGAGCCCGGCCCTCCTAATGTCTACTTTGGTAAGAAACTCTATAATCTCACCCCCTCCCACACCTAGAACCATATTTACTAAAGCTCATCATCTGTGATAGGCGATGTTTTCTCCTCCGCGTCGCAAGATGCCCCGAACCTCTTGGCTGGATCTATGTTCCTCCTTGAACAAATTGACAACCCCGAACCGGCTCCACTGTATGACTATGATGAGACAGGAGTTGTGCTGAAAGGTGAGTCAATCTCCATCAATTAACATACGCTAATATGGCCAATCACAAAACATACTGACAAGTTACCTGTCTGGTTGTTAGGCGAGCTGCACCTCGAGGATGAGAAGGGAAACACTGCTAAGCTGTTCCCTGGGGACACCTTCTTCATTCACCGGGGAAGTAGCATCATCTTCTCTACTCCCCGGTATGCTGTGGCTTACAAAGTTGGTGCTCGCCCCAAGATGCACTAAGACGATCCCACATGGTACCCCTAGAGATGGATAGGTCTACAAGCTATATTCACAAAAGTTGATAATCGTCCTTCGGAGATGATTGGGGGATAGACATATAAAATTCATGAATATATAACTTTAGGCTTCATCGCACTCCACATCTATTAATTTTGAAGTCATGTGTCTGCAAAACTAGAATTTTGGCGCATATTACTCCTTATCCGAGGTGCGTATCGTAACTACATAAGTATGAGAATGAACTTTGTTTAATACATGTTAGCCCCAGACTGTATCGTTAACAAAAGGAATACTCGGCCGCCTATAGGTCCTCTCTCATTGACGACGTAGGACTTCAGAAATCCGATCCCTTCGACCGAAGTTGATGCTAGGGATGTTATATGTAAGACAACAACACTACGATATTTTTTTTTGAATGTCTTGTTAGACGCTTTGCACCTTTTTGTAAATAGATGTAGAAATTTCGTGATTTTCACATACAAGTATATCTCTATCATTTAACAAGATGGACTAGACTTCTGTTTCGTGCAATTGAATGATGAAGAGTTTTAATATTTGGCTTATAGTAACAACTCCTACTCATCAGCTGTTGGTAGAGTAAAGTACTTGACAGTTTTTGTCGACATCCACGCTTCCAATGCTTCTTCACCCATATCACGGCCAAACCCAGACTGCTTAACTCCCCCAAATGGAGTGTTGGCGTGCAACATACCCCAGCAGTTAATTGTGACTTGGCCACATTCCAGGGCTTCTGAAACACGCTGTGCCCGGTTAACGTCATTCGTGAACACAGCAGCACTCAGTCCGAATTCGGTGGCATTGGCTTTCTTAATCACTTCGGCTTCAGTATTGAACTTTGCAATTGACTAGAATCCAAGGTCAGCAAGTATGGTAAACCGCGACCCTCTAAAATACTTACGGCAACAGGACCAAATATCTCCTCTTGCATGATACGCGCGTCATCAGGCACATCGGCGAAGGCAGCATTGGGAACAAAGTTACCATTGCCGGGAATCTCAGCTCCTCCAGCCAACAGGCGGATACCAGATTCCTTTGCGTGGCGGATATATTCGGTAATCTTCTCCCTCTGTCTTTGGCTAATAACGGGACCTTTGGTTGTCTTACCCGATAGAGGATCTCCGGGGGTGGTATGGGCCAACTTCTCAGCGAAGGCGAGAAGGAACTTATCGTATATGTTTGCATGGACGTAGATGCGCGACCCTGCCGCACAAACCTGTCCATTGTTGGCTGTGAATCCTAACGTGGTCCAGAATAGAGCATTGTCCAGCTCAGCATCAGAGAACACGATTGAGGGGCTCTTGCCGCCTAGTTCTAGGGTCACCTTCTTGAGGTTCGAACCCGCTGCAGCTCGCAATATCTCCCGGCCGACGGGGGCGCTTCCCGTGAATGCAATCTTCTTGACCCCATTATGCTCGGCCAGTGCCTGACCAGCAACTGCACCATAACCGCAAAGGATAGCCAGAACACCAGGTGGGAACCCTGCCTCTTTTATGAGGCTAGCAAGCTTTTGTGCATACAAAGGCGCGAGCTCTGGTGTCTTGATGATCAATGCATTGCCTGCTGCGATTGCGGGAGCCAGCTTCCATATAGTAATCATTCTTTATATACAGCATCAGCAACCATATTTATATCGGGCATACGAGGGACACTTACAATGGTGCGTTCCAAGGCACAACGGCAGCGCACACCCCGAGCGGCTCTCTCCGTGTGTACGCATATCCCTGTGGGATACTCAACAACTGGCCAGCAATTTTGTCTGCCCATCCAGCGAAATACCTGAGTGTCTCTGTAGCTTGGGGAATATGGAGGCCCTTTGACTCTCCGAACAAGACACCCGCATCCAGGGCCTCGAGGCTGGCAAGGTCATCCGCATCCCGCTCGATCAGGTCGGCGAGTCGGTTTAGCAACTGGCCCCGACGAGCTGGAGTTGCTGCTGCCCATGGACCTTGCAATGCCGATTTGGCAGCACGTACGGCGGCATCGACATCTTCTCGCTGTGCGGCTGAGATGGATGTAAGGACGCTGCCTGTGGTGGGATTCTCGACCTCGAGCTGTGATCCTCCCGTCGCTAGCTGAAACTCATTGTTGATAAAAAGGCCCGTGTTGACTATTGGTGAGCTAGATATTTAGTGGCTGGTGATAAACTATCAAGTTATGATTGGAGAGTGTGCGATATACATACTGCGAATAGACCGGCCCTCGAAGCCGATGAGTTCGATTTCGCTCATATTGATAGTTTGTGATAATCCGAGTGGCTTTTTGTCGTTTTTTTCCCTCGTATAAAAGTAGAACAGTAAATAAGTATTGCTCCAGATGATATTATATTATAGCCTCTTTTGATCATCTATAGAGCTTGCAATGTCGTTGACCCACTATCGGATGATTCAAGCCAGTCACGTAAAATTCCACGTTAGTTCCAATTTCTCTAAATTCTTTCGCTTTTTATCCGGATTTGTAACTTGCAAGCAGCCAGGTAGGTTGCTATCGAAAGTGATGATAAATATGGCCGTTGTTAACGATCGCCAATCTTTCCCAGTTCTTTGCTTTTGTTGCACAATGCCTACTTAGGACGAAGTATGTTAGGCCCTACTTATCGGCCTTACTCTATCGGAGAGGAAGAAAAAAGCGCTATTCACTAAATGATGAATTATTTACATTCTACAATTTTATAATACCTTCGAAAGAAAAAGGAGTTAGTCAGTCAATTGGTTATATATTTACGTTCTAACAAAATCGCATGTGGCTTACTTCGCCAGTTGCATGGAATTTCTTGGCTTGTTTCACCATCTCTATAATCTATACAGGACTGGGCATATCATGCATGGCAGTAGTGAGAGTGCTGTTCATCTTGTGACAATTTAATAATCACTTCTTGGTTGTAACTTCGCATACAAAATGTCGAGAACTGACAATGTAAGCTCATACAATACAAGTTATCTGTTGACGTATTTATTCACTATTTATGAATGCAACATCCGTGTATAGATGTATAGATAGCTTGACTTTATTTCATAGGACGTTGCCAAGCACGTGATCTTCCCGATCAGTGCCAAATGGGTTTCCCGAGGAGAGCGGGTGGGATCAACCAGAGAATCATAAATCGTTAGAGCTACTGGGGTTTCTTTAATCACCCCTGCTCAATTTGAGGACTCAAGGCACGGGCTTCAGTTGTCCATGAGAAGGCTTTGGACCTCTATTCGCTGGCAGTTTTGCGCACGGCAAGTTTCAACTCATTCGCCCACCATGACTCGAACATACGAGGTATGCTACTCGGAGCTTTGCGACGGGGGATTATTTCCGACAAAATATGGCGTATGCTGACACTGGAATGGATAGGCTGCGATTTCATCGCTTAACTCCTTGCAAACCAACTATGCGATTGTGGAGGCACTCAGGAAGTCCAAAACGAGGCAGGAGATGAACGATTTATCCCTCCCGGAGACAGTGGACTGGTTGCAGCGCATCGGATACAAGGTGTGCTGAGCTAATGGCAGGGATGTTGATCCCTTGTGAGTGAAGCTAATGTGGGATCTTTACGTTCTTTAGCCTTCCGACCTAAATCGGCTGAACGCAATTCATGTCGCCGGCACGAAAGGCAAGGGCTCAACCTCCGCATTCATCTCCACAATCCTCTCCCAACACTCCCGAAAAGATGCGGACCAACCCGAATCCAACCTCAAGGTCGGCCTTTACACCTCCCCGCACCTTCGGTTCGCACGTGAGCGCATAAAGATCGATAATGCCCCATTGTCCGAAGAGCAGTTTGCGCGCTATTTCTTTGAAGTATGGGATCGTCTGGAGGAGGCTGCTAGACTGGCGGGCCAGGATCCCACCGGGCCTGGGGCGAAACCACAATATTTCCGGTACTTGACCTTGATGGCATTCCATACCTACCTGAGTGAGGGCGTAGACGCGGCGGTGATCGAATGTGGAATCGGTGGTCAATACGACTGTACCAACGTGATCCCACAGCCTAAAGTTACAGCGATCAGTAGCCTTGGCATTGATCACGTTGCTATGCTAGGACATACGATTGAGGAAATTGCGTGGCACAAGGGTGGCATTCTCAAGCGTGGCATAAATGGATTCGCGGCACCGCAACCTCCAAGTGCGGAACAAGTCCTGGCTAAGCGCGCGGAGGAGGCTGGCGCTCACCTGGAAATCGTAGCTTGCCATCCTGAGCTTCGTCCTGAGAGTAGCAAGATCACCCTTGGATTGGCTGGAGACTTCCAGTACACCAACGCCTCGGTGGCAGTGGCAGCTGCGGCGGACTTTTTGCGCCAGGTTGATATCGATGTTCCGGAGAATATCATGGAAGGACCACTACCAGCGAAATTCAAGACTGGACTCGAGAAAACTCGCCTAGGCGGCCGGTGTGAAACCCGATTCGAAAAGAACGTCTCTTGGTATATTGATGGCGGACATACTTTGGAGAGCATCCGGCTGGCTGGCCAGTGGTTTGCGTCGCGTATCCAAGCCGACTCCTCATCCGAGGATGTAGCCGCCAAGAAGACACGGATTTTGATCTTCAACCAACAGACTCGTGATAGCACGGCTCTTGCTCGTGCTCTCCACGAGACCCTCGCCTCTGCCCTTGGAAATGATTCCCCATTCACTCACGCCCTATTCTGCACGAACATTACCTACAAAGAGGCGGGCTTCCGACCCGACTTGGTCAGTATGAACACCAATGCTGACGACCTCGAACATCTTCGAGTCCAGAAGTCTCTTGCGACGGAGTGGAATGCTATTGACCCTCACGCCCAAACACATATTTTCGGTACAATTGAGGAGGCTGTTGACTTTGCGCGTGAGATTGCGGGTCAGGAACGCAAGGTCCTGCAGAAGGACGAAACTCCAGTCATGACTTTTGTCACCGGCAGCATTCATTTGGTCGGAGGATTCCTCGACGTAGTTGAGACAAAGCCACCTACCGACGCATGATTGCCCGATGATTGGTAGCCCGGAGCTCCAAATGACTCTTGCATTCTTGTATTCTTGTATCAACACTTGAGATGTGCCTTTGGCTTAACATAGAACGGACATAGAGGTGTTTTTGCTTGGATTTCAACAATTCTTCGATTCTCAACATAGTTTACAATGCATTTAAATGATACCATATTTGAACCCCTATACGTGCTTTAGCTCCATGGACTTTGCATATGTGAATGCCGAGGTTCCTGACGTAGGCCACTAAGAGTTCAATGTTGAGCGGGGGTCTTCACTCTTCCCAGTGGAGCACTTATGGACTCCGGCCAGGGTAAAACGGACTCCGTGGGTGAAACGTGTCCATAAATAATAGTCTAAATAACTACTCCGTACTGCGCCCATAAATCAAATGCTTAGCAAGTTGTGTTGAGCGCATTTCAATATCCCAATAGTTATCGTGTATTATTAAGGCTCCCCCACCAGAGCGATCCGCGTTTGAAACGTGGGGCCCAACCCAATTCCTTCTTCCTCAACTCCCCCAACACATCATGTCGGATTCCAGCGATAAAAAGGGCAAGGCCCCTAAGCGCAATGAAAACGAGTCTGGAGCTCCATCCGACTCGGGTAATGGTAGGCTCCTCAACCACACTGGGTACCAAGGTCCCTAGCCCGCAGATGCGCAGTTGTTGACATTCGAATTCTAGAAGCAGGAAAGAAGCTTCCCGCGAAGTTCGCCTCCTTGCTCCTCGAACAAAACCCCGCCCTGAAGAACGAGTTGGCTGCGATGGACAAGGACCAGGCCGCAGCCCTACTGCACAACATGGACCTCTCGCAGATGCTGACCGGATTGGCAGTGGGAGGTAAGAACCAGAAGGATATGGCCTCATACAAGTTTTGGCAGACACAGCCAGTGCCTGCTTTTGAAGAGGCTGGAAAGACGCAGATTACTCAAGGACCTATCAAGGTCATCGACCCAGAGAAGGTCTCCAAGACCCCCGATGCGCTCCTTGAGGGATTCGAGTGGTGCACTCTCGACCTGACAAACGAGGAGGAGCTGAAAGAGCTCTACGAGCTTCTTAACAAGCACTACGTTGAGGATGATAACGCCATGTTCCGCTTCAACTACTCCGAATCGTTCCTTCATTGGTACGATTGAGTCTTGGATCTTTGTACCTATCTCAGAAAGCTAATACTACATACACAGGGCTCTGATGTCTCCCGGTTGGAAGAAGGAATGGCATGTTGGTGTGCGCGCCAGCAAGTCGCGCAAGCTGGTTGCATCCATTTGCGGTGTCCCAACTGAACTCCGCGTCCGCGGCGAGCGCCTCAAGGTGACGGAGATCAACTTCCTGTGTATCCACAAGAAGCTGCGCTCCAAGCGCTTGACTCCCGTTCTGATCAAGGAGATTACCCGCCGCTGCTACCTCCGTGGCATCTACCAGGCCATCTACACTGGCGGTATTATCCTTCCCACACCCGTCAGCTCTTGCCGCTACTACCACCGCTCTCTCGATTGGTTGAAGCTCTACGATGTTGGCTTCTCACCTCTCCCCCATGGCTCGACCAAGGCCCGCCAGGTCACTAAGAATCATCTCCCTAGCGAGACAGCGACCCCGGGTCTGCGGCCCATGGAATCCAAGGACATTGATGCCGTCTATGATCTACTCGAGCGATACATGCGACGCTTTGATATGAACCAGGCCTTTACACGGGAAGAAATTGACCACTGGCTGGTGCACAAGAAGCAGCCCGGTAAAGAGCAGGTTGTCTGGTCATACGTTGCCGAAGACCCGGAAACCCACAAGATCACTGACTTTGTCTCGTTCTACAACCTCGAGTCTACCGTGATCGATAACCCTAAGCACGATGCCGTCCATGCCGCATACCTGTACTACTATGCGACCGAAACCGCGTTCTCCGACGATAAGCAGGCTTTCAAGGAGCGCTTGCAGCTCTTGATGAACGATGCTCTGATTTGTGCAAAGAATGTATGTTGCAATGTCTTATTTCTGATTTTATATGCTAATCTTGTATCTTTGATTTGTTCTAGGCCCGTTTCGATGTCTTCAATGCTCTCACCTCTCACGACAACCCCCTCTTCCTTGAGGACCTCAAGTTCGGTGCCGGTGATGGCCAGCTCCACTTCTACCTATATAACTACCGCGCTGCACCTATTGGCGGTGGAATTAACGAGAAAAACTTGCCCGATGAGTCGAAGATGGGAGGTGTCGGTATCGTCATGCTGTAGGCTTGACGCTTTGGCTAGTAAATCTAACGTCGGATACCCCGAAAACGAATTTCTTTTCCCTGTGTCGTGCTAGCGATGAGAAGAATATGAAAATAAAGAAACTGTTTTATATACCCAGATCGCTTCGCCAAACTTGTAGCTGCTACTAGCGAAGTTGGTGTTGACCTTAACATCATCAAACACTAGCACCTGGGCTATTTTACGAATGCTTATTCCAAATGCTCGACTTTCCCTCTATATATTTTCATGAAGCTACCGGGGGAGCTAATATTTGTCTAGTACAAGGAAATTCAATCCAATATAAGGTCCCTAACTACACAGACAAGCCGAGACACTGAACCTCCCCAGGGGAGTGTCTCCGGTGTCATTGGTTTTGTTTCCGGGCCACCATTGTTGCGCAAAAGCTCTCTTGTCAGTCTTTTCATGGTGACGATAACCCGGTCAAGCCAAACCTCCTGGGTGACACCTTCTAGCCAAGAAAATCCCATTGTTAAACACCCATCTCCTCCAACAACCAGTGTGATACGGAGAGCAGCACCGATATCATTACTATCATTGCTGGATATCATCCTCCCTATATTCCATTCTCCCTGCTCTTGGGATTCGGGTGATTTTGGATCCCGGAAGCTTCCCACGCTCGATACCGCAACACTGACCTCACTAGTCTCTTCATTGTCGTTCGTATTAAACAAGCTAGAGCCTCCCTCACGCCGAAGAACCCCTATTAGGCTGCTGCTTCTCGGCTTTCCGCTTAGCTCGGCCTTGGAGGCTGTGTGGATGCGCCGAGCCTCGCTCCAGATAGAAGCCACGGGCCAGCCCTGTGCTCTGTTATGTATCGCAATATATCTAGAGCAGGGTATGCGGACCGGACTCTTTTTGATGGTGCCACTAGGCAATATCTGCCCTGCAGTATGGAGGGTAGAGAATTCCGACGTTAAGTTAGCAAACAGTGACGCCGCGAGGACTGCTTGCATGACACCGGTGATATCGATCTTTCTAGAAAGGCAACCCACCAGGAGACAGGCAGTGTCTGCGGTTCCAAGTTTCACTGTTTTGAACCGAGAGTGACGTTGAATATGGCTGGTTTGCTTTCCCGGCCGTGATGTAGAAATCCCAGACAGCCCTTTTGAATCTTTGGGGCTGAGGTATTCCGATGGCTGTATCGACAATTTTGCCTCGTTGGCCAGCAACAATGCAGCCAGGAATGATCGATGGAACTCCACCGCGCATAACTGATCTTTGGCGGACGCACCTACTACAAAGCAAGCTACCATATCAGATATGGTACTTCGCCCAGATGGGTATGCAATAATCAGACGCCAGGATGGCACTTGCTCAGATCGTACCGGGAACCCGATGTTCTGTTGTTCTTCCACCAGCCTATCCACCTCTTCTTCTCGACCATCCCGTAGTTGAATAAATTGTATCGCGTGGTGGAGGGTTGGCCCCATTGCAGGAAGTTCTAGTACCACTCGGGACAGGGTGTTATAGACCAATGGCTGTAGCGATTTGAGTGGGAGAGCCACAGAGTGGTGATAGTAAGCGGCAGTGACTGCATTGCCAGAGTAGCTGAGGGGATCGAGGGCTAGATCTTCAGTTGTTGCTAATTCATTAGATTTTAGAACCATGAGGGAACACACGGTCGGATTACTCACTGGCTCGTCTGCCTTTCTCGTCGATTGGGCTCCATAACATGATGGTCACTGGATACAACCAAGAGGGAGTCGGCCAAAATCAAGCGATTTCAAGTTCGTATTTTTGTTAGACTTCGTTGCATGTATGCTGTGTGATCGTCTGCTCCCGCAGGTGAATGGTTTGATGGAAATCGGTGGAGGTTGGATGAGTACAGCCATCCTCACATATCGGCATATATATCACCCATGTCAGTAGTAGTATTGCTCATTTCTAGTACCCACAGTGCGTATATGTACCATACCACAAAGGTCCATAGCCCAAGTGTGTAATACATACAATTCCTTCCATACCATACCATACCATACATACATCCTTCCTTCCTTTACAATACCATAGTTACCGTATGTAGTTAATTGTGAAACGTATCAATGGATATCATATATACAGCGTACTATAACTATATACGCATGCCAGTAGTACTACTTATGTGTGGTAGTAATTGAGCTACTCACCAGCCACACTGGTATTGCGAAGCGTGCTGCTAGTACGTTAATATTTAAATTACCTTCAAAGTTTCATAGGCGAAGATTCGCCGTGTTTTAGAAAAGCGCCTAACCAAGCCAATACTCCCTGTGAAAGCGTTTGGTTATTGGTTTTTTTTGTTCCAATTACAGTTCGAGTGGTGGTGGCAGGATCCAAATGTCAGTTTTAAGCATGCTCGGGGAGCAGACGACTAGTATATGCAGTAGCAGTATACGCTCCTCGTGGAAATCACAGGCGCAGTATTCAGCCTGAAAACATTTCCAGGTGTATGGATTATAGGTGCAACGAATAAAACACGACCTTAGAAGGAAAATTCTTTTGTCTGAAATCATGTGGACCCGTTATAAATATATATTTTTTGCATTCTAGTTGCGAGCATTAAAGGGCCTTTTCAGCCAATTCTGTAGGGCTTAATTCATAAGAGATATGTTTATTGACATGGGTATGTATTTACTTTGTCATAATCTATTCATTTGTTAAGTAAGAAGTGTACCAGCCTGGATGATACCTAAAGTCAAGGGGGTATGTGCGCGAGAACTTTATCAACAAATCCAAGAGCCGCTTTCATTGAACGCCTGGTCCAGTTCTTGTTTCCAACTGCGGGTAGGACAGACAGAAAGAAAACCACAACAAAAGAAAATGAAAAGGAGGACAAAAGGAGGTAAGGAAGATGAAAGTAAATACAAAGGTAGAATGCAATCTATTCACATGTAATATAATTGTCCTGATAAAAACAGCAAAGGACCAACTCAGCGATGGCTTGTGTATTGGCTATCGCGGTAGGGGGATGGTTCTCGGCTGCGAAGTAGCACATCATCGCCGTACGTGTCGCTATCAGGTAGTCGTTGCATATCATTCTTTCCCTTAGCCCCCTTCCGGCAGCTTCGACAGCAACACGCACAGCCGTAACAGCAGAGCCACCTGCCGATACCACTGGATGGCATTTTCGCATCGGGACCCTGCAACACGGCACCCGGCGGCACAATGTTCCAGATAAGGATAGCCAACGCCATGGGAATACCGTCAAACACATACATATACCATTCATGGTATGGAATCGGATTTGACTCCCCAAAGCCGGAGGAAAATTCAATCAAGCGGTAGATGATGCGCACAGTAATGGCGACTAGACTTCCATAGAGGGCGTAAAGCAATCGACGCCAGTTACGCTTCTCGACAGGCAATCGGCCAGTCTGCTCCAGCTGCAGCATCAATCGCTGGAACTGCACAGCCAACACCAAAAAGCAGATGATGAAGAATTCCTGGATGCCGATGCCACCCATATAGATATGGATACCATTCATTTGCTGCTGGCCCGTACCGTTGGCCATCAAGCCACCGATCATCTGAACAACGAAGGAGGCGAAATCGAGCAAGACGAATGACTTGGCTAGTAAGGAGGGTTTGAACATGCCGATGCGACGCTCGGGGACGAAGAAATGGATCATCCTTGCTAGAACCATGTAGTCGAATGCATTGACCCCTATATTCAGAATTAGTATTATAGAATTGAGCTGTTGCAGGTAAAAATTTCTGGGTCGTACATAATGGAGCCAAAAGAACAAACATCTGGGCGATGGTCACGACAGTATCATTCTGCTGATTGTGAGTGCTGAAGGCGCGGACTCCGTAGGCCACGGTCTCCCACGAGACCCCCATGAGGATGACCCAGGCAAAGCCCGCTTTGTACATAGTCGCCTGCACAAAGTGGGCCATGAACAGGATCCCGAAAATCACGGCGGCAGCGATTGCGGCTCCAAAAGACGGGTAGTAGAGGTACAAGGCATCGCACTCCGAGGCCGGTACCCAGCCATACTTGTCGGGTTTTATGGTGGGCGTGCACGTATCGGAAGGCAAATCCAGGCTCAACGTCAATTCGAATTCAGTGGCTGTCGTGGTAGTCGCTGTCGTGGTGGTCTGCGAGTTTGTCGCCGTAGTGGTGGGGCTGGTATCGCGCGGGAATACCCCGGGCTGGGGTACAGCAGTTTGGACGGGGGATGCCCGGGCCACGATGGCTGACACCACCACCAAGAACAAGCCTGACACTGGAAATCGCATGATTACAAGTATATATGACACAAAGAATAACCGGTGACGAAAGGAATGTGTCAGGTCAGAATGCCTGAAAGAAACCGATACGAAAGTATAGAAGAGAAGCACACGGTCATAAACATTTCGAAGAAGGCAGACAGCATTCAAATAGTTAATTTATATATCGATATCTGATGCCTGGAGGAATACAAAAACTCCTACTATTCTTGTTGCCTTGGAAAAAACGATATGTGACCCGATGTGTAGAGAGGGCACAGAAGCCACATGTGTAGTTAAAAATAGCCCTGGAGACATCTGAGATCTCGATCTAAAGGTACTGTTACCAATTATTCCGTATCTGGTATGGTTATTACATTTGTATGTATTATATACATACAAGGCTTAGTTCTTTTGAATTGGCCCCCAAAATACCCAGGCACCTTCAATAATAATACACTTTGACATGGCTAGCGTAACTCTGCTTGTCACTTACTTTATTTCTTCTAGAAAGGATGAAAGGGAAGGGGAAAGAAAATTAGGCAACAATCTGATATTGCTGCACAGAATGTCGTTGATCCTACTACCATTGGCGCCCACCTGTCACAATGGCTTTGACTTCACACCATGTGCGTGCGCTGTTTCTGCCCTGTCTGCCGCAGCATGTTTATCACCGAAGTTGCAGCTCCACACTAACTCGGCTGCCACTATTTCCAAGGAAGCTGACCCGTTTTCATCGCCAATTTCAGATTCAACTTCATCAAGTTCCAGCTAGACTCAGTGGAACAGAGACTATTATTATATATCAATGACCAAGTCATGAAATGAACGTGAGTAAGACAATTGTGAATGTATTCAGTATGTGATGGTTGTTAAATCTGCAGTTTATATAAAGATTTCGAGACGTGGGCAGCAAACTGACTACTTCTCTTCTCGGATGATACAGTGCAGTCCAAGTCTTCCTCCGCCTTGACAATATTATAGGTGTGGTAAATTTTGTCTCTCGGCCAATGGGCCTCTCAGCCACAGTTACAGATATAGCCTAATGGCGGCCATCAAGGTTATCTACCTGGGTCCCTAGCCATTACCGCACCCGGTAGCCACCACAAAACATTTCGTTTAAAGATGATTCCAATGGTGATAGCTGACGAATTCGGTGCCAGCTGGGACTCCTGACGACCCATAGCCATGAAGATCTTACCTTGGGGTTCGGTCGTCTAGTATTAACTTCGTGGCTGGCCCAGTGCACGACCACGTTGTTGCTGGATATCCCTAATTGCATGGTAGTATGGCGTGTATTACAACGATTAATAATTTGGGCAGAGTATTCCAATAATAAAGCAACTACCAGACTAATTATCAACTAATAAAACACATGATACACTGCAGCCTTAGGAATGGAGCTAATTGAATGCATGTCAGCTTAGTGAGGTCAAGCTAGGTTAATGTCAGCGCTAAGACAAGTTAGCCCTAACACACGGTGCGTGTTTCGGGATTGAACCCCACCCGTGGACCCCTGGATTCCCGAGGTCTGTGTTCTGTTTATTTCAGCCCATACATGTCTATAATATGTACGAAGTACTCCTTGCTTGTTCTCTGTTTTCTTGTTTTTCAATATGTAAAACGCATTATTACCCAAATAGGGGGAAATCCGGCGTACCGCGGTGGTTCCATCGTAGAAATTCATACAACAATTGAATTCGTTAGTTAACTTATACCGATTATTACATATTCCAGGTTCTAGCTGTTTTAACGTTTTATTTTATAAATTGGGTAATAGAAACACAACGTGGATATAGGCTTCAATGTTTTAAAAATAAGTAAGCATTGATTGTAATCACCAGCATATGGTATAATGGAATTAATAGCTTAGTCCCAGCCATTCTCAGGCCACCACTATGGTATCATTAAAGCACCATTAACGTATGAAGCACGGGCCCCGCCATCCACTTGACTTCTATATCCGAGATATTGCCGTCGAAGAGAATCCGTAAGTATCCGCAGTATTTCCACCTTAATCCAAGATCGAAATGAAAACTAAAAATGAACAAGTACACAAAAGGTCCTTATACGTATTTGTCGTCTTTCGGAGGCATTTTTGCCATAGCAGGGTATAGCTACTAATAACGGGGCCTGTCTCTGGCCTCCAGGGCCCTAATGGCAAATGGGTAAGGTAACTAAGATCACTTGGGGAGTGTGGAGGTCACTAGTCAGGTCGTATCTTATTTTTTCATTTGTTTCTATTTTCATGAATCGGGTAAATAGTCCTAAATTGCCGGAATCTGTATTGCATTAGTGCGTAGCCAAGACAGCATAAGCGTTATGAATTGCTTTTTATTGGTTAACCTCACACGTCTGTGCCTAGGTTGAAAAATTAACTGACTGTTCACGACTAACTAAGTATCTCTATGGCTTGTGTATGTGTAAGGATTCCATCTATCCATATGTGAGGAGAGACTGGTATGTATAAGGTAGATAGATATGTATATTTTCCGATTCGCTACATGTACCAGTGCATTCCATACTTAGATATCATTCCGTTTTTAGTATTTAGTCTCTATATGTATGATATAAATTATCAGTGGGCTAACGTCAAAACAAGTATTTTTAATAGATAGTTTCCTTATAATCCCATGAATCAAGCACAAGATGTATCCAAAGATATTATCGAATCATTTTTGAGTGTCGAGGATATTTGATACCAAGATACATAGTAGCTTAAAGAAGTATCCACGTTTAAGGCGGATAGCCTACAGCTAAGGAAAGGGAAATGGCACCGACAGACTTCCTTCACAGTGACCTAGGGCAGGCCAACTGTAAAGAAAGAGAGAAACAAATAAACAAGACAATGACTAGAAGGATTGTTAGGCGAGGTCTACGTGATGGATGTTGAAATGCATTGTGCAATGTTATATTTAGATTGGAGAGCTGTAGAAGCTCACTGACAAAACTAAGAACTGAAAATGATGAGACAGCGAAACAGAGCGGAATCTCGCATGCGCGCTGCTGATAGGGGTGATTCTGTAAGTAATCCTCATCTTTCTAGAAGGAAATATCGTGGTATAAACGGCGAACGGGCCCCTTAGGTACTATTTCGCCTTCCCTGTGCGATGGATCAAAACCCAAGACACATTTGGGGTCATTGCAAACAGTGACAGTGACGCCAAGTGGTTATCCGCTGTCATTACATAACCTTACGTAATATTCTGCGTGAGTCCAAAGCCTCAGGCAGAAAAACAAGAGTCTAGAATCATTATATGCCTCAGGCAACAATCTGACGTCGTCTCGTGGAATTCCGCTCTCCATGTTAACTTACTACCTACGGCTCATTGATGTTTTTTTTTTTTTGGGACAATTTGACCATTCTGAACCATTCCATTTCACAGCTCTCTCTCTTATTCCAACTTCTCGCTTGAGATTAGCTCTTGAGCACTGCGACGGAACTCAGCCGTAGCCTAGCAGTGGGGTCATCCCCGCATCAACCATCAACAATGGGTGTAGCCCAGTCCAATGAGCATGGTGCATTATCCCCAGGTGAGTTCTACCTCTTACATTCAAGGTTGCGCCCGGGAGGTACATGAAGCTGCTACTCTCTTGGTCGGCTGTAATCGTCAACAATGTGGCCTCGACTTCGACATGGGAATTCCTGATCAATGACAGCTGTATCTAACGGTATGCGTAAATAGAGGAGTTGAGCTCCGTGCTCGCTGAGCGTTTTGCCACAAAATGCTTTACGCCATTAGAGCTCACGCATTTCAAGGACAACTTCTTCTCTCGGGCTTTAGAGCAGGGAGGTCTGCGGTACTGGAATGAGAAAGTCCTCTCAGACTTCTTGGGCATCCCAGATGGTATCTATACCTCTTCCCAGGAACAGCCACTAGATGCAGGGCCGGTGATCTTCCGCATGGTCTCTTATCTGGGAGCCTTTCCATTCCAAAACACTCTTGCACCCAGTGTGTTGACCTTCGAGGCCATGGTCAAGGTGGTTGTGCTCTTGACTGAGCGCTATGGGAAAGCGCTGAAGCAGGGACATAAGGATCGAATCAAGTTACTCTTTGGTAGTCTAGCTGACGTGGGGAGAAAGACTCCCGCCGAGTCTAGTGGAGAATGTACAACCGAGGATTCCGAAGCTTCGGCTGAGCATTCCCATGCCTTGGGATTCTCTATAGACGCACCAGCCAACGATGAGTACGACGAAGATGAGGATGATGATCTTGCTCTTGCGGCACTGGAGTCTCTTGATGCGATTGAAGTGTTCAAACACGATCACCGCGTTGACAAGACCGTTTACGAGACACGGATCTCTATCGATACATTCCGCCGGTTGCTTATGCTATTGCTTGTCATTGCACCACTGAAGCCATTGGAGTCTTTGAAAGTATACACATCCGGATTGGATGTTCAGCGTATGAAATCGCTCAAGAAAGAAGCAGACAGTATCATTGCTGCCTTTTCACCGGAAGAGAGCGACGGCGGGATATCTTACAAGGCTTTTGCCCGAACGATATCACTGTCTCTGCCATATCTATTCGATCCGCTCACTGCTCTTTTCGAGCACATGCTTTTCAGCAAGAATTTGAATCTCTCTCAACGCCGCCACAAGGGTCAAAGTACGGAGACAGAACAGGAGGAGAGCGAGGAGACAGAAGAGCCCCCCCTCACCACCAGCTGCACTTACACTTCCGGGAAGCTTTGAGTCGGCCATATTAAACCCAACACTTACCTCGCATCTTTCATTCTTCCTCCCATCCACATCGCCCGATATCAATATCCTCCGAAGCAGCGTCAAACTACATCCCGTCTTCTCCACAAGCGCCCACGGGTCTTCCTTAACATCCTTCTCCCACCACGTTCTTACCTGGCAAACTGCCACCCTGCTCCTCCTGCAAGGATCTCCAACAGACTCAACCAGCGAAGAATTGATAACACTCGGCGCCTACATTCCCCAAACGTGGAAAAATTCCATATCGACCTCGAGCTCATCTTCAAAAACATCCGACCTCCTCCCCTGCCTCTTCCAACTATCCCCAAAGCATATCCTTCTCCCAGGCAACCCCTCCCCATCCGCAAAGAAGCCCAACACCCCAACCGCCTATTTTTCACCCAACACCGGCATCGCAATCGGCTGTCGAATCCCCGTCCCGTCCCGCACACAGCAAAACTACCCGACTCCCCATGGAGCAGGCAGTCTCATCATCGATGCCAACATAGAAACAGCCGAGTTCCACGCCGAACCCGTCGGACACGACGGCGTCTTCCTACCCGCTGCCAACACATCCCCCGAAGACCCGCCCACAAAGATCAAGCTTGATCTGTACACCCTGGAGATTTGGGGTATCATCCCAGATCCGGAGGAGTCGTCGTTTTCCGCGGACCCAAGCTTAAGTCCGGTGGAGATCCAGCGTGCAAAGTGGGAATTCGAGGCACGGGAGGCCGAGCGCCGTCGTAATATCAATATCAAAGCTGGGGCTGGGGATTCGGCGAAAGAGAGTGCTAGGTGGCTTTTGGAGACGGCTGGTATTATTGGGGATGAGGCGAGATATGCTGGTGGGAGGGGTTAAGGGGTTGGTTTATTGCCTGTTTACCGAGCAAGTCTTTGTTTGAATGTGTTACGGTATGGCATCTGCGACTTGGTCTCATCGGCGTCGAGATTGGAGTGAGGTTTTCCGTAAACCTACATTAATTACCTGTCCAACAGGCCTGCAATTTTTGGGCCACTCAAAGCTCACGGCATTTCCAGCGGCATCCTTCTTATAATCAATCCTGTTGCCGCCTTTTAAACATACGTGTAGTCGGGGAATTGTATTACTTCCGCAAAACGCGGGGTTGGAAATGATAACCGGTACATCTCCAAATGCAAGGTCTTGAACATTTGATTATCGTAGATTTAAAAACTGGCTCAAGTAGAGCCGTATATATTGTACATACATCATCCCAGAGGCATCCTTGGGGCTCAAAGTTCCATATAAATCCAATGAGTTTCACAGGGGCTGCTGTTGCCACCGGGCCCTTTCATTCTCAACCACATGTGTCAGTGGTTGGCAGATCGATACTATATAGTTACTCGATCTCTCTGTCAGGCTACGTGTGGTTTCAAATAACCACCAATGTAAGGATCTGCATCTGTAGACGCCTCTAGAAGAATACAATCTATGATCAGGCCTTCAATGGTGGTAGACCGCTCGGCGCATCATAGAAATCCTTGAGGTCTTCTTCATCTTCTTCGAATTCGAAAGCGGAATTCTCCGCCTCGGATTCTTCACCAGCCAGCTGAACACGGGAAAGACGACTACGGGTTCCGGAACCGACATTTCCCGAAGAAGCAGGTGTCCCGTCCCTCTCAAGGGATTCTGACGCCGCCTCACGAGGCAGACGCATGGCCAGGTAGCCATCTGGTGCACGTTCAGCACGGTCCATGATGTCATTCATATATTTGCGCACCTCGTCTGCTGGCTTGACGACGCGGGCTAGAGGCTCAAGGATTTTGGCATTGGGCGCATGGATGCGGAACGTGACTGGTTGCCAGTATTCTTTGAGATTCGCCTCATTGACAGGAGTCCCTGGGACACCGGGGGTGGAGAGGCATGTTTGGTCGGCAGGTTCCTGCTTTTGTGGCGTCCCCGTTGTAGGCGTGCCTGGTTGACTCGGGGCTGGGGTATCGGTTGGCAGTTTGCCCTTCTCGGTTTTGACTTTCGGTTCAGCCTTCTTAGCTTTAGATGCTCCCTTGCCTTTGCTTTTAGAGTTCGCAGCCTCTGTGGCAGTTTCAAGAGGGAATGGTGTGTTTGGAGCAACCTTGCGGACTACCAAAAATGAGGCGATGACTGTGTTCTCGGCTGGGAGCCATTCCAGAATGGTGTACTCAGGGAAAAGGTAGCGGTCACCCGAGCCGGCATGGCCCGAGGTACTGCTTCCATATGGAGTTAAAGGAGATGTGAATTCAAACACCACAGACTTGTAGTTTACTGGTGGAGATCCAAGTGGGGAGACGTAAGGAATTGGAGGTGGGCGGGGGAATGGAACAGGAGAACCATATTGGGGTGGTCGAGACTGGAGTGGAGGTTGTGACCCATAAGCAGGTTGTTGGTTGGGGGCATATGGTAGTCCCGGTCGTGCTCCTGGCTGTTGAGCGCTGGCTGGTGGTGTGGGGTTAACCACAGGAGCCTGCTGTTGAGAAGTAGAAGCAGGGGCCGGGGTGATTGCAGCACCAGGAGTCGCTGATTGGCTCGGTACAACTGGGCGCCCTACTTCAGATGGCGCGGGTTGGGAACCCTTCTGCTCTGTGGCCGATTGCTCTTCCTTGACGGTGCCCGATCCGGCGGCACTTTGAGGAGGTTTAGGAGCCTGGCTCGGTGGGGCCTGTGCAGGTGTCTGAGGCTGCGCCTCCGTCTTCACAGGTGGCTGTTTGGAAGCTTTGGATGGGGTTTGTGACGTTTGTGGGGATTTCTCCGACACTGACTTCGTCCCACCATCTTGTTGTTTCTGAGTCTGAGTTTGTGGTGTAGGGGTTGACTGTTGTGTAATTGGCTGTGCTGTCGAAGATTGCTGCCGTTGTTCCTGCTGCTCTCTTGATTTGATGATTGCATTGAGTTCGTCGATGTGTGCTTGGAAAGCCCGGAGCTGCTCCTGGGATGCTTGGCTTGAAGCAACAACACGCATCAAGGCCTTCAGTTCAGGGTCCGCAGCTGCCCTAGTAGCCAGCATTTGAATCACAGGATCTGGGCTTGGCTTCGCTGGCTGACCTTTTTGCCCTTGTGGAGGCTTTTGTCCTCCTTGGGGAGAAGGCGCATTGCCTTGATTCGGGCCACGAGCTTGTTGGGAGGGAGGATGGCTGCCTGTATACCCAGGGCGACCGGGAGGAGCGGGAGAGTATTGCGCAGGTCGTTGTTGATTGGATGGGGTGGGATACGGTCGGTATTGTTGGAAGTTATTAGGGTGGCCATAGTGAACCATCGGTCGTTGCGGGGGTGCGTATTGGAGTGCCGGTGGCGCACTGGGATCTTTGACAATGTAAATCATAGCATCGAAGAAATGGGGACCGATGGTGACATCGCAAGGCCCAACTTTTGCCATAGTGTCCTTCGATGGGTTGTTCTTCTCGATTTGTTCGCGCTTCGTCTTCTTCGGCTTTGTGTAGTATCGAACAAGGATGCCATCGCTTAGCCACTTTTTCTTCGATCGTTCGAGTGAAGCGAGGAGAACTGCACTGTTGAGATAAGAGAATGTCAGCCATGCAATACCAATGGGGGCGGCTGTTATGGCAAACCTTTCGGCGATTGACTGATACTCATTGTCCGACAAAGAGAGTGGTTGTCGCATACGGACAATAGGCAAGGGATCTCCATCCTTGACCTTTGTTGGTAGAGGGGTGTCAACTACTTCGGGAGTTGGAGCACGAGGAGTTGGCGCCTTTTTCTTGTGAGACTGCGGCGTGGCTTCAGAGACACGTCTTTTAGCTGCAGATTCGCGGCGGTCGCGCGCCGGAAGTTTGCGCTTTTCAGCCATGGTGGATTCAATGAGATAATCACGATATCCACGATGGAAGTATAAGAAGCATTCTATAGCGAGATGTTGGAGGGGATGGGGAGAGGGTGGAAGGGAGAAATGTGAGAGACGCGATAACGCGCCGCTTATCAGCGCCGTCTCTTCCAAGATTCTCCGCTCACCTCCGTCCCTGGGGCCATGCGGCTGTCAACAGACATCACCTCAACCCTGCATGCATAATGGTTGAGCTTAAACCTATCTTCAAGAAGGCCTACTGGTCTCTCGCAGCCGGTGGGCTGCTCTATGTGCTTTGTCTCCTCTCCTTGACCTTCCCCGAGGTCCAACGTTTGTAAGTATCTAGTCCCCGGACCATGCTCACAGCGAGCTAACATAAATAACACAGTGTTCTTTATGCCAACAAGATTAATCCCAGTCTATGGCAGGATGTCAATCAAGTTGAGCAATTTGGATTTTTGCGTATGGCATTTCTGTTCAGGTGAAGGCCAACGGAAGTATGTGTGCTGACGGATCACCACAGGAACTCAAGTTCAACCGTTTCATTTGGTGACACCAGACAATGAAACCATTTACGGCTGGCACTTGATGCCCTTGCATCTTTGCCTTGAACACGAGAAAGAATTAATGGAGAATCCTTCTACGGGGCCAGCCGAAGATTACACGAAGACAGTTGCCCACAAGCTTCTCGCCAATGACCCCAATGCACGAGTTGTCGTAAGCTGTACGTGGTAGACAATCTGCATTCCCACTCTAAGAAGCTGACATTTGAACAATCAAGTCCACGGAAATGCGGCGCACTTGGGTTCTGCTCAACGCCCTGCTACTTACAACTCGATGCTAAGCCTGTCTACCCCTTCAAACCCAGTACACGTCTTCGCAATTGACTATCGTGGATTTGGTGTTAGCACTGGAACTCCCACAGAGGAAGGGCTTATCACAGATGGCGTTTCCCTCATTAACTTTCTTACCGCAGGGCCATTAAAAGTTCCCACTTCTCGCATCGTCATCGTGGGCCAAAGTCTTGGGACTGCGGTCACAACCGCAGTGGCAGAGCGCTTTGCATTCGGATCATCTGACCTGGCAGCTATCCAACCAGCCATCAAGAATGCTGAGCCATTTGCCGGCGTGGTCCTACTGGCGTCCTTCAGCAGCCTAGCCAATCTTATCGAATCCTACAGCTTCAAAGGCCTCACCCCGCCTATGTTGTCTCCCATTGTGGGATATCCTCGGTCTCAAAAGTGGTTGTTGAGCCACATTGTGGACCACTGGGACACGGCTGGAAGACTTGCACGTCTTACCGGTGTGAATACCACTTCCGTGAAGGCTGTAGATATGGGGTACACCGATAAAAGCCTTGACCTCACAATAGTTCACGCTTTTGACGATGCGGAAATTCCCTGGTACGAAGGACGCCGTGTTTGGGAGGCTGCCACCGGCAGACATGTCAAGGGTGCTCCCGGCGCTATGACGTATCATAAAACGGAGGACGGCAACCCTAGCGAGGTCAAGATCTGGAAAAACGAGATCAGGAATCAAGATGGTACTGAGATTGTGAAGACAGTTAGATGGGAACGGATTCGATATGGTGGTATGTTGAAGCAAGGCCCTCTATGAATTTCACAGACTGACTGGTAGACTTGCAGGTCACAATCGCGTTGCATCAGGCTCAATGGCTGGTCTTGCTGTTATGAGGGCCTTTGAGCAGTAACTGCATCGATGGTATATGTATGTGCATAGAAAAGGCCTAGGAAAATATACGGTCGTAGCTCTATCAATAATGAAAGAAATGATGCGTCAGTGACCGGATTTAACTTCCTGGATATATTTCTATCTAACTCCAGACAGACTTATGATAAAGTAACACGTCCGGAGTACTTGCTCAAAAACGACATGTTCTTTTTACAGAATAAACCAAAAAAAAAGATACAGCACGACGGCTGCATGATTCGAACATGCGCCCGCGAACGGAATTGATTTCTAGCTGTGGAGATTGTTAGTGAATGTTTTGGTGGATCCAGTTGTTGGAAGAGAAACGTACTCAATCGCCTTAGACCACTCGGCC